AATTAATGAACACTCAGCACCAGAATCACAATAAAATGAAAACTCCTCACCTGAGTGTCTCAATGTGCCACATGGAGCTGTGACTTCACACACGTCGACCCTTTTCTCCGCGGATGAAGCTGGAACACTAGTCGCCTTTTCATTCGTCTTGGTAGTTCCTTGCGTAGAGTCCGACGCCTCGGCAGTTGAAACAGATGACGGCTTCGCTGTAGGTAGCTGAGGTCGCGAATCCTTCATAGCCTCGATGATCACCAAAAAGTTTTGATTCTGCTGCTCCAATAAACCACGCCACATATCTTCGTTATTTCCACGTGGGAGATGGGCAGATCCCGCTTCTGATGTCGGAGTGGGCGAGCGGGATATAGGTGGTTGGCCGAGTGGTTTTTTCTTGATCCGCCATCTTGGTTATTCAATGATATTTCCCGAAAATAAAACTGTAGTCTAGTGACCAAGCTAACGTTTAATTTGAATCTTCTAATCATTTTACAAAATCAGCAATGATTGCAAAGGCACAAACGGATTGCTTTGCGAAGCGTGGAGAGTTCTCTGCTAACGTCCGTTCACTATCGCGGCTCACGTCTGAATGCCGCCGAATGCCTCAAGAATGCCCCTTCCAATGAAGCATAGCCCCTTATATACTACCCTTAGCATAGACCACTCCCGTGATGACAGCTGTCACTGTCATAACTTGACGTTTCACAAAGCAGTGGTACACTGACTGATGACATTTGTTGTCGGTTTAACGTTTCGAAGAAGCGAGTGAGACGCCATCCGCCGACATATACATTTCTAAAATGTCATACAATATTCGTCGCCGCTCTAAACCAGATACCATGGCTAAAAAACGCAATTCCAAATGTATACCTATTGATGATGGACTAACTGTTGCCGATTGCGTCGTAAACGTACTTTAGCTTTTAATCGTTTGAGGAAGATGTTTGCTGTCGCAGAACTGGCTAAAACCTTAGATTAAAACAAAAAAAACTGATCCTACTCAAATTGACATATTTATTGCTCATTATTCTACATTGCAAAAAATAGTCGATAATTTTGAAGATTCGCATTCCGATATATTGTCAGTTATTGATGATACCTCAGCTGAGGAGCAAGATTCCATACGAGCCGAATTTGATGAAACGTATTTTCACATTTTGGCTTTGCACCGTCAGTTAGTTCCTTCAAACGAAAGTCAATTAAATCAATCGTTACCTACTGCTTTAGAACGCTCAAGTACTTATAATTTAAAACTGCCTAAATTACAATTACCTACTTTTTCGGGACATATTAAATCGTGGCCGGAATATTACGATATTTTTAATTCATTGGTGCATAATAATGAATCACTCACAGACACAGAACGTATGCGTTATTTGGTATCTAGCCTTAGTGGAGATGCCTTAGGACTCATTCGTACTTATCCTGTCCAAAGTATTTTTTACCGAGAGGCTTACGAAACTTTAATCGCCCGGTACCGCAATAAGCGCGAGTTAGCGTTTACGTGTTGGAAAGAAATGCAAAATATAAATTTTAAAATTAATTCTCCTTTCGATTTTCGTCGCACTTTGGATATGTTTAATGAAAACCTAAATATTTTAAAGGGTTTGAACCTTCCTACTGAAAATTGGGATTTTATTCTCTGTTATTTAATTTTATCAAAATTAGATACAAAAACGCGCTGTGCTTTCGAACAATTAAACTCGACAATGGAACTACCTTCTTATCAAGATTTGAAATCTTTTCATTTTTCGTCAAATGATATAACAAACCGCGCTGTTCTGAAAAGGTTCAACCAACCAAAGTAAATTCGTTCGCCTCGCGTAACAAATCCACTTCGGTTTTTCTTTCAAACTCATCCCATTCATCTAAACAATTGCAATCATCTAACGTCACTAAATCCAATTCGAATGCATTGTCCCAGTTATCAGCACATCCAATCGTAACCTGCTCATTCTGTTCAGAAATCACTCTATCAATTTATGTCATAAATTTGCACAGACCCCCGTGTCTGAACGGATTGAGTTTGTTAAATCTCATCGTCTGTGCTTCAACTGTCTGCGACCTTCTCATACGGTTAGTGACTGCAAATCTATTTTCCGTTGTCAAAAATGTCGTCACCGACATCATATGCTTCTTCACGAAGATGTTTCAGTTGTTTCTTCGCAAAATCAATCCAATAATAACAATCAGACCCCTAATCAGGTTAGGGTTCTGACGAGTCTCGGCGATGGTTCGGTCGTGCTATTATCTACCGCTTACATTCGAATACGCGATCAGTCTGGCATTCCAAATTCCAAAACTTTCGTGCCTTGATTGATTCTGGCAGTCAAGCACATTTCATTACCGAACGTGTTCTTCACCGTTTAGGTATTACTCACACTTCGAGATCACGTCAAGTTCGTGGCTTAGGACAGTCAACCGCTTCAGTAACAGGCAATGTTGATCTCCAAATTTGTGCCAATGGTAAACCGCTTTTCACCATAAACGCCTTAACATTGCCTCACATATGTGGCAAGATGCCATCCGTTCATCTCGACCAAGCATCGTGGCATCATGTAAGGAATTTACCATTAGCTGATCCAAACTGTCATAAGCCTGGCCCCATTGACCTTCTCCTTGGTGCGGAGGTCTTCGCTTCGCTACTGTTACCCGGTCGAGTCAACGGAGGACCGAAGCAACCATCCGCCCTCAACTCTGTTTTTGGCTGGCTTCTGGTATTAAGTGTTGGTTGCAAAGACAAAGAGGTGCGATCCTTCTTCATTAATAAAAATGACGTTCTTTATGAAGAAGTACAGAAACTTTGGGAGCTAGATTCATTCAATTTCGTAAATTCAAAACATCTCACTCCTGAGGAAGATAAGTGTGAGAATATCTTCGCAAATACTCACTCACGAGATTCCACGTATCGATACGTTGTTACCTTACCCTTCAAAGACGAAGAGAAGGAACATTCTTTTCCTTACTCGTACAGAGCTTCATAGTGCTTTAATGATGATTGTCAAACATGTTCAATCTTTTGCCTTCGTAACTGAAATTCGACAGTTGAAAGAAGGACACATTCTTTCAAAACAAATGCGTAAACTTAATCCGTTTCTAGACCCCTCTGGAGTTCTCAGGGTCGCGTCAGGCGGTCGCTTAGCCAGATCTGGTCTCGAGTTTGAACATAAGCATCCCGCTTTGATTCCGCGTGATTCTAGATTCACATATCTCATTATCGAAGCGTTTCATCGTGAAAACTGTCACGCCGGTGTTAATACAATGCAGTATCTTTTAAACCAACAATTTTGGATTATATCTGCCAAAAGAGCTATACGCCATTGCTTGTCCAAATGTGTGTCATGCTATAAAACAAAACCTGTGCCTCTTGAACCGTATATGAGCGATTTGCCTGCAATCCGCATTAATTAAGTCAAACCTTTCTCAGTTGTCGGTACTGATTATGGCGGTCCGTTTCGTATAAAACTTGGAAAGCATCGTGGTGCTAAATTAGGTAAAGCATATTAATGTCTTTTCGTTTGCCTCACCACCAAGGCTATTCATCTAGAGGCTGTTTCCGATCTCTCATCTGATGGTTTTATCGCAGCTCTTCGACGTTTCGTTGGTCGTCGCGGCAGAGTCAGTATAATTCATTCCGACTGCGGCACCAACTATGTAGGTGCAAGCAATCACCTCCAGCGTTTTATGCAGAATGCGGCTCATAGGGAGAAAATCGAATTTCGTTTCAATCCTCCTTCGAGTCCCCACTTCGGCGGAGTGTGGGAAATCCAAATTAAATCTGTTAAATCTCACCTCTATCGTATCATAGGCGAGCAATCATTAACTTTCGAAGAATTAACCACACTTTTTGTTCAAATAGAATCCCTGCTAAATTCGAGACCACTTTATCCACTCAGCTCTGATCCGAACGATTTAAGTGTACTAACGCCCGGTCACTTTCTTACGATGGAACCGTTAACTGCGATTCCTGACGAAGACTACTCGGTTTTAAATATCAGTCGCTTAGGTAGGTGGCAATTGCTCCAACGTTTTCAACAAGACTTTTGGAAGCGTTGGAAGCATGAGTACCTCCAGTCTCTCACTGTACGAGCTAAGTGGACTAATCACGCAAAACCGTTAGAAGTGGGATCCGTAGTTATTCTTAAAACCGATAATACGTTACCATTGCATTGGCCTTTGGCCCGAGTAGAGGTTTTACATTCTAGTCCTGATGGAATCGTTCGTATAGCTACCGTTAAAACTATCGATGGCTCTCGTCTTACGAGACCTTTGGTAAAGCTATGTCCTTTACCTAACCAATCTGACTAATGCGGTCTAGTTATTAAACTTAAATAATTATAAATAGTTTTAGTTTATAAAATAGTTCATATGCCTTTCGTAATAAAATCTTAATTCTAAATTTTCATATAAATCGTTTCATTTTATATCGAAAAATACTTTAACGTAATTTTGGTGGGCGGAATGTTCCGTTATCACTTAATCGTGGTTACTTATTTATTATTTTAAATGTGGGTAGGTTCGCAACGAGAACGATGCATCTGCGAATGTGGTTTTTTACTAGCCTAACGCAGACAGTTAGCCATTGATCACACGAGAGGACCTACGTCACTCCGTTCCGCGCCCGCGCACTCGCTAACATCGTATAACCATTATATTTACGTGCGGCACCAAGAAGTGGAATTTGTCAACAATAAACTGTGAATTTTTCAATTATTCATTTCATTGAACATAGCAACATATGAGAATACACAACATTGGAAACTCCTTAACGCCTTTCAAGAAACCTAAGAATTCATTTGGGAAATCCCGAAGAGGTAACTCATTTCACAGCTAAATAGTAGTGTGAACCCATTTCGGCAAGCTTAATTAGCTCGTTTATTACGCCGCTGCAGTTTAACGGCACTGAAGTCTAAAGTTGTAGTTATAGGTGATAATCACATACGTTAACTTCCGAGTGAATTAACACTCATAAATTGTTGTAGAACAATTAAATAAAACCACAAAAATATTCGCAAAATTATATAATTACATCAGTACTTACATAACTTGGTACCTAGAAGTGACACTGGCATAGCTCGCTGAGAGTAAATATGTTAAAAATATTTATACATTTAGGTTGCAGGAATATATATAGATAAAAATTATTTTATGAAATAATATAACTTGATAGTAAAAATGCATTGCATATTTACTGCATATTAATAAAAAGTTCTGTTTGAACTACAAAATAAAAGAGGTAAAATGTAAATAATAGCAGTTAAGAGAACTGATAAAAAATATTTTCACAAGTAAAATAATATAAAAGTAAACATAAAACCATGGAAGAGAAACTAAACAAAATAGAAGATTAATTGTTAAATAAAAGAATAATATGAAGAAGGCGGATTGTTGTGAAAAATACATTAATATTTATCACGATTATGTTAGAGGATTTAAAAAAATGTGATCATGATTCGTTCTTGTGATGCTTACATACTCGTACATTATTTTATTACATACACTTAGACTTCGCATGGAAAGGCAACGATAAACAATTTCGCTCAATAAAAACTAAAGGATTAAATATTTCTTAAAAATAGATCTGTCTATAGAGGCACGTCGACTGGCTGACATCAATGGCCATTATAAATTGCAGTTAAGCAGGCTGTCTTTATGTAATCTTTATGTAGATTTACAGCTGTACTCTAGCGTCGTCAGCCAATCAAGCAAGTCAGCATTTTAAGTTTGATTAAAGTTATTGCTGTCGCTTTCTTTGCCACGACAATAGAGTTAGACAAGACGTGACTTAAAATGGCATTAAATTTGGCGTCTCTGAGCATAGAGGTATAAGAATAGAGTGGGGAGGGCGGTTCTAAAAGTGTCCGTCTAGTAGAAAGAGAAGGAAGATGAGAGACCGCTAGCTATCTCTCTCTCTTGTGACGCATGGCATCCAATGACATCACATCGAAATAGTAAGATGCTTAAGGTAGCCAATGCGCATACGCGATTAAAGAGAAAAGTTAGCAGTCTCTCATCTTCTTCCTCTTTCAATTAGAGGGACACTTCCACTTGTAGTAGAGTTTATATTTCCCCTACTCTACTCTTATACCTCTATGACTCTGAGTATCATTAGACCCTGATCATCAGTCAGTCAGCATAGCTTAGTTCATTCGTCGATACATAATCTCAGCTGGTGAGCAATGCTGGGTGCCGTCGGCTAGCCACTTCGCTGCCGCAAGTTACACGTACTAACATGTCAAGTACACCAATTCATTTCCCCTCGAATACATAGTTAAAATTTTGCATTTGCCACAGTCAAGGACAAAATATATGTTACATAGTAATACTTAATTCTATATACAAATTTCATAGTATTTAACAAGTACATACGTTAAATTAGGAATAAGCATGAAATATTATTTTAGTATAAATCACAGACACTTTACTTTCCTTATAATCGGCCGCTCTTAAACTCTCCGTACATATCTTTTATACATCACGTGTTGCTCCAAATGATGTAATCCCGCGTGTTATCGTTAAAATTAATTTTGAATACTGCATGCAAATGACTTTAAAAGCTTAATCTGAGTGACTCAAAAAATACAAAGCTTTTAAGTATTCATTAAACACTATAAATAGACTCGAATATAAAAAATCATCGACTAGTCGATGTGGAGAACAAGCCACGAGGTGAATCAATACTCGCTGCGAAGTGATGTCACAAACTAAAATATCGAACTCGACAGGTGGGCACATTGACTATAGAATATTTCAAGTACACTACAGCTAGAAAAAACATAAACCTAAGTTGAGTTCACGAATGTATAGTAAGATCTACATTTGGCTGGCGCCTTTGTTCCTTAATGCACATAAAAATCTTAAACGTGAGTTTTAATAGAATTGGTTACATTTGAATGAGGGTTTCCATTCAAAACGCGACGTCGCTGCGATCATTCGGATTTAATTTTTCGTATAAAACTATTTTAACGTACATTATGGATAAAATATGAGATATCCAAGTATCTTATTATTATATAGAAGAATGGCTGTAGAGTAACCTACTGTGATAATCTCGCGGAAACTTACTAAATTCCGAATGATCGCAGCTTGGCGTGCATATGAAGCAATGCCGAGCGCCTGCCAGATTCTCGCCAAGTCTAGTTGTTCATCAGACGAGTGCTCATCGATTCGGCGAAATTTGGCAACGGTCGGTGATCCTGACTCCCGAGTCTAGCGCGCGCGGACGCTTGGCAAGAGTCTGGAGGAGCGGTTACGTCAGTCGTGGCGCGGCCGCGGCGGACGGCGGTCGTCTCGCATGAAGGCGGGCGTCGCGCGCGTCTCAGGTATCGTTTGGTGAACGCAGCGAGTGTAACGCATTGCCATGCCCGGACGGCCGTCGTCGATCTAGGAACGTCTTTAGCTGGGTCGCCGATAGTGGTGTTGCGGGCGCCTGAATAGAAATTACCTAAGCTTGAATTGAAAAGGTCTATATTTATGGGCATAATGACATGCATTACATATGAGGCTATAGCCATATATATATTGGTAGTTGCTACGACTCCTAGTGCAAAATAATCGTTTTAAAACGAAGTAGTTCATGAATTTTAAATTTATAAATCAAAGAGATGAGATATTGGAGAGAATCCACCACTCGAATATATATGAGCGGGGCATGGTCTCACTTCGTCCAGCCATGCGTCGTTGAGCGCGGCGCTGGGCGTCAGTCTCGCAGCGGGCGCGGGGTCAATAGACCGCGTATCATGAGCTATATATGAGCGGGGCATGGTCTCACTTCGTCCAGCCATGCGTCGTTGAGCGCGGCGCTGGGCGTCAGTCTCGCAGCGGGGCGGGGTCGATAGACCGCGTATCATGAGCTATATATGAGCGGGGCATGGTCTTACTTCGTCCAGCCATGCGTCGTTGAGCGCGGCGCTGGGCGTCAGTTCCGCAGCGGGCGCTGGGTGTCAGTTCCGCAGCGGGCGCGGGGTCGATAGACTGCGTATCGTGAGCTATATATGAGCGGGGCATGGTCTCACCTGGTCCAGCCACGCGTCGTTGAGCGCGGCGCTGGGCGTCAGTCTCGCAGCGGGCGCGGGGTCGAGTAGACCGCGTATCATGAGCTGCGCTCGCTCGTCGACTCCGCTCCAGTGCTCCGGCGGGAAGCAGTAGTCGCACTTTATTATGTTCGCCGTCGTCTCCTCTATCGACTCGTCTAGGAACGGCGAAAGCTGAGGAAAGCGCAGATAACATTATAAGGTATATTACAGAATGACAACTAAGGCTCGCATTACAGAATGACAACTAAGTGTTGATCTTTATTTGAGTACAGTTAGAAAGGGATGTCGCTAAGTGCTATATACAGTGACATCCTTTTCTAACTGTACTCAAGTAAACATTAAAACTTAGTTGTCATTCTGTAATACGAGCCTAAGTGATGAATGATCTTTGCTTGAGTACAGATAGGAAGGGGTGTCGCTATGTGCTGTATATAGCGTCACCCCTTTCTAACTATGCTTAAGACTAGATTAATTACTGAGAATCTTTCTATAATACGGGCCTTAAAGGTTTTACGATACTCTTACCCCAGTGAGGAACACGTATAGGAAGACGCCTGCAGCCCAAGCGTCCCAGGTGGGGGCGGGCGGGCGGCCCAGCACGCACTCGGGCGGTGCAAACTCGAGCTGAGCTGGGGCAGGCGGTAGAACCTCCCTCGCAGAAGGTCCAGCGCTTTCCCCTTCCCCCGCCTCCACCGCCGACCCGAGGTCGATCAGCTTCAACTGAGACTGGGCACCGCCTAACTCCACTAGGATGTTCTCCGGCTACAGGACAATACAAAGAGAAAATCTGTTAAAAATCGTGGGCTACAGTGCAATTGTGAAGTTAGCAGCGAACGCAACTATGAGCAGATTTCAGTTTTGTGTCAACCCGCACGCGCCTACACCTCCCTAACTTTCATTTATTGCGACCGCCTCAACTTGCTAAATGACTCGAGCTTTGGAACCTCCCTAACTGAAGGATTAGTGATCAGCTTCAACGGGGGTTGGGTGCCGCCTCATTCCACTATGATGTTCTCCGGCTACAGTCTAATGTGTTAAATGTAAAAAGTTTAAGCACTTCTTGATTGGGACACATTTTTAACGCTCGTGGTGTATCTAGATTTTGAATAACGTAGTGCGATGCAGTTAATTTACAAGAGAAATCAAACGTAACCGAACTCCTAAGATAGTACGTTATGGAATAATAGAGTAACGGATAGAAATACTTATTAAAGAAACATAGATAAGTAAGGCAATATCGTAAGGAAAGCGTAGTTACCCGCACGTCGAGATGGGCCACGTGGTGAGTGTGCAGCCAATGCAGCGCTGACAGCAGCTGACGCGCGTGTCTAGCCACCGTCTGTTGCGTGTACAGCGCTGGTGTGTTCGCCGCCCATTCTAATAGCCCCCCTCCCCCGACTAATTCCAGTACTAATGTATGTCCGCCGGCCCGAGGCACTTCGCTGAACAAAGCCAGAGCGCGCACTATGGAGCCATGCGCCCATTGCGATAAGATACGGTACTCGCGCACCGCGTCCGCACCGCGACCCGCTGACACCTAAACGTAAAGAAAACACGTTGGTACTCGTCAAACGGGAGCACTTAAAACCATAGACGTAAAATCTAATAATATACTATTAGTCAATATGAAAAATAAAGTACAATTTTGGCTTGTATATTTAACACGAATATTGAAAGCGATTTCACTATTCTGACAGAAAAAAGCAGGATATAATATTACTTAAAATCATAAAATAGTAAAGTATTTTTTTTGATCTATTGTCATGTGACCGAAAATGTAGAGTACGCCTCCTATTGGCAGAGCCTAAAATAATGGCACATGCTTGTAAACATGCTGGGAAAGACATATACAGTGGTGGTCGTATAATTAGAAACACTACCAACGGTCCTTGACATTAGGTAAGATACTTCAATGCAATCGTTTTTATTTTGAAATTAAACAATAAATAGGGCAACAATATGTTCTGAATAAAAAACAATATAAATTCCATTACACAATTGCAGTTTCAATATTATTGAAAAACATTTAAAATGCTTCAACAAATGCTTCATATAGTACGTTTTGACTGGTGTTACGTTTGTTTGAGACATTCTTTTTAACAATATACCAGAGATTTTCGATCGGGTTTTAATCCGGAATATTTGCTGGCCAGTCTAAAACGGATATACGCTGTTCGCTAAGGAAATACTTGACGCTATTGGCCGTGTGTTTAGGGTCATTGTCATGCTGAAAGATCCAGGTTACAGGCAAATGATCGTCCGAGTAGGGAATTAATGTGTGTTCTAAGATATCTTTGTATCGCCATTGATCCATTGTACCTTCAATCTTCCGAACGGGTCCAACTCCAAATCCGGAAAAAAACCCCAAACTTTAATGTTACCGCCGCCGTGCTTGACTATACTCCTTGTGGATTTATAGTTAAAAGGATTGCTTACAGGATGTCAAACATAGCGCTTTCCATAGGAATTTACGATATTATTTTTGTTTCATCTGAAAATAATACTCTTTTCCATTCTCGTACCGTCCACTTAACATATTTTTTTTGCGAATAATAATCGCTTCTCTCGGTGTTGCTTGGTAAGAAGCGGTACCTTTCGAGCGATTCTACCAAAAAATTAAGCTTCCACTAATCTTCTTCTTGAGATGTTTCTTCATGCGAAAAAACTTCATTTTTTAATCTGGTTAGAACCTTTACTTGGGTCTTTTTAGCAACATTAACGATTAGCGTATCTTTTCTGTTCTTGGTCGAGCCTCTCTAAGAACATTTTCAGCAGTTCCGTGTGTTTTATAAAGATCAATTGCATTAAAAACTTTCGCCCACTTATGATCTATATGATGAAATGAACCATTATTTGCCTTGTTGTAGAGTCACAACTTTTATTATTGCCCATTTTGAACAAAATAAAATTCAGATTGTTTGAATTGCCGCCAAAATAATTGAAAAATCCAAGAAAGAAATATTATTCTCCAATTTCAACAAAAGCAACGAGCTATGGATGTTTTTTTAAATGTTTCTAATTAGGCGTCCAAGTGGCCAGTAACAGAAACTCATTTTGTAATTAAAAGAAAGATATGTTTTATATTTTACGCATGTAATGAGTTTTTTATTTGAGTGGCTATATTATTGCATGACAATTAATTATTGAATGTGTATATTTTTTGCGAACATTTGTACGTTGACGTACATCATCATCATCATCATCAACAGCCTATCATAGTCCACTGCTGGACATAGGCCTCTCCAAATGCACGCCACTCATATCGATCTTGGGCTACTCGCATCGTTACACTTTCTTTATTCATAAGTGTTCTATTTATGTGACCGCCATTGTATATATGCATATATGTAGTCGTGTGACACTCATACGCATTTCCGTTTCATCTTTCCCATAGGATATTTCCATTTACACCCCGTCCGAAAAGAAGTTTAACTTCAAAAATGGGTTATAAAATACGTATCATACCATCTATCCCCTTAGAACCCCTTAAGGATTTATCATTTGGAATTAAAAGCATGCCAAGATACTGATGTTACAATTCATTTCAAATTTGAGGTGTTAAATAAAATATTTTGTTTTATAGAGATATTTTGATAGACATGTCTATTCTCTTATGACAAGACTATTTTCATAAAAATACACTCCCGGACTCTTGAATCGAGTCACCTTACATTCCCGGGCCTAAAAGCCCAATACACAAAAGTTATACAATATAACAAAAAAGTTTTTATGCATTTTTAATGCTGGCATATTTCATAGTCTTTCCCGTATGTATTATTACAAATTTGAATTTTAGAATTTAAAATAAAGAACAAAAGCAGAGCTTGGTCACTGATTTGAAAAAAATAATGACTGTTGAAAGTTGCTTTTGAAGCAATTTAATGTCGATTTGGTTTGAATTTTCGCAATTGTTGTAAACCAAAGTTTAGTTATTTTTCTATAATTGAACCGTTTTTGGCTATAAAATTATGGATACTTCACCTGAAGTAGCCGCGCAAGCTGTAGCACTTCTTCAATCTGGGCTAAGTCAGCGAGATGTGAGTTCACAACTTCACATAAGTCGTTCCGCTGTTCAAAGAGTTTACCACCGATACCTGGAGATTGGCGGCTTCGATCGGCGAACAGGAGGACCTCGTTACCGAGTGACAACGGCGAGACAAGATCAATACATTGGCACTACTAGCTTACGAAATCGACGCCTTAATTCTGTTCAGATACAGGAACAGCTCAGGGACTATATCTCGGAGTGGCTGTAAGTGCTCGGACCGTTAAAAGGCGACTCAATGAGCGTGGTTTAAAGCCCCATAAGCCAGCCAATGGACCCAAATTGACACGAGCACACCGAATAGCCCGTCTAGAGTTTGCGCGCGAACATCTGTATTGACGAGAAAGTGAGTTATGGTGGAGGATCATGGACAGTCTGGGGAGGAATCTCTATGGAAAGCAAAACTGAGCTAGAGGTAGTGACGGGACCACGACTGCCGCCCCTAGATGGCAATAGATACATTCGCCAATGTTTAGAGAACCACGTGATGCCATATGCTGGATTTATTGGCCAAGATTTCGTTTTAATGCATGATAATGCAAGGGCCCATACTGCGGGAATCGTCAGGGAGTACTTAAATGACATTGGTATCACTGTTATGAGATGGCCAGCGCGAAGTCCTGATATGAATCCTATAGAGCATCTATGGGATGAGCTGAAGAGGCGTGTTCGAGCTCATCATCCTGCCCCGCAAACCATGCAGGAGCTCAAAAATGTAATTATGGAAGAATGGGAGGACATTCCTCAACATGTCATAACGACATTGATTAATTCTATGCCAAACCGTATGAGAGCTGTCATAAATGCACTGGGAGGCAAAACAAGTTACTAAATAAACATTTCTTTTCATGTAAAACATGTCTTTATTTAAAAATCGATTATATTTTTTCCTTGAAAAAAGCAAATATGGACTTGTTTCAACGTAACTCGACTTTTTTAATAAACTGTAGTTCAAATTTAGAACAGTGGCACTCTAAATGAATGATGAGTATACCAGCTCCAAAACTGCATCAAAAATTTTCCTTCTACATACATCTTTTATAAGTTACAGTACTCCCAACCAAAAAAATCAAGGTGGCTCGGTTTAGGTGTCCGGGAGTGTATATACTTATGCGTACCTGTTTTAAAGCTACTCGTTGTCCGGTGCCGGTGTCGCGTGCAGCGAAAACGCGCGCCGTTCTGCCGCGACCAATTTCCTCTTCAACGCTGTACCGGCGGGCGAACTGCTCGCGCTGCCAGCCGCCGCCGCCACCGCACGCCGCCGCGCCTGACGCCGCGCCCGCCGCTCCGCTGCGCCCGCACACCAACCGGAAACTGTACTGCCCCGCCGGCAGCTCCTCCAAGGCCAGTGTGTTCGCCGCCGCAGGGGTCTCCGTGGCTCGACGCCATTCCCCCTCCCCCACTCGGCAATATTCCAGGTGCGCAGGCGACGGCTCGTCCCATTGAACGACCAAACCGCCGCCGGGGTGCGCTCGGACCGCCGGCACGCCCGGGGTTCCGCCTGCGCCTACGGTCAATCTCGCGGATGTTTGCACACCTCCCAACTCGTTGGTGATTAGACAGCAGTACACGCCGGCGTCGGAGGCCCGACACGCGTGTATCGTGAGCGTGGCATGGCCATCTGGAGTGAGTGAGATGGCGAATCTTCCACCGTGGCGTAGCGCTCGTGTTTCCGGTGCAGTCTTGCGCCAGGCACAAGAGGCGCGCGCCGCAATTGCACGGCAGGCGAGCGTGGCCGAGCCGCCGGGCGCGGCGGTGACGTCGGTGGCGGGCTCGGAGAGCTCGGGCGGCCGGAGCTCCGTCACTACACCCTCAGAGCTGGGCTCGCCGCCGCCGCCGCTGCCACCGCGCCGCAGCTTCAACCCCCACGGCCGCTTCGACAAGCCCTGCCACGTTTCACACACGCTCACAACTCTAGACTAGTACACTCAAGCGGTGCACCTAGCAAGCTCTGCATGCACGCTCACCTAGTGCTCCTTCACCGATGTTCCCATCCACTTTACCATTTATATCTTAATACAAAATTTATACTCAATAAATAAAACTTAAAAAGTCACAGGCGGTTATTCCGAATCACTAAGCACAATGAAGGTGTCTTGCGCATGAGTCAAATCGGCCCGCTATCACAGTCTATGTTAAAAATGCATTCCCGTGTTTATCATACCTACAACAAAAGAAATATAGACAAGCGTTAACAAAAGAAGAAACATGCAAAAAGATAAAGAAGGTGCGAAAAGGCGATAAAGAAAATTATTAGAGTGAAATGGCGCTAAAAAGTTTTAAGAAACAGTTAACATAAAATGATTAATTTATGTAATGTATAAAACTTTTCATATGAAGCTTTCATTTTTATCAAATGAGATTATCATTTCAGAGATTTCTTATCAAATGAGCTTAAATTAAATTACAGAAGATAATGTCAATTCATGCTTAAGCCACCCCATACTGAATACATTATCTATATTAAATGAATATATTTACTTTTATTTAGTACAATTTATAATATCAGATATATCAGCCAAATAACAAAAAGAAACTAAGCAAACAAAAGATTTGTGTTGCAAAATAAAATACGAATTATTATTCCTCTGTTTCTGTTAACTTCACTTAATTCAAATCGGTATTACCAAAGGTGTGTGATGTATTATTTAACGTAGTGGCTTATCCACTTTTTTTGTGTTCAGAGGACCCTTTCCCCAAAACCCCCAATTTATCCATAAATTTACATCGTAATGCTTGCACGTCATATCAGGGCGTAGCTGATGGTGCAGGGATGCAAGGGTGAGCAATGCTTACCCTAGAAACCTCACTGCCCACCATAAGAGTACTAAAAATTACTTTACTATTTTCAGAATGATTGTTAGTTCAACTGTATGGCTACCTTCTCCTAGGAAAAGTCTCTAGCTAATTCACAAATAGCAAATGCAAACAGGCTATGCGTTAGAGATCTAAAAATAAACAAATATTTAAAGCGGGTACCGTTGATTTTTACCCAGAAATGATACTTGTAGAAAATATACTTGTAGATTTTTTTTCCAATTGTATCAGTCTATGTGACATGACATTAAAAATACCCTGTGCTAGATACAGTTTCTGAAACTGTGTATGTTTATGTGTGTCATGTCATGTATGTGTATATCTATGACCTATATTCATAGATTTACAAAACAATGTCAGTTTTCGAGAAATACGTGGTTATCGAAAATACTTTCCTCACTGGCTTGTTTTGTGTTCGTTTCTGTACCGAACTACTACTACTAATAGGGATGATATCTAACTTTTTTCCTCATTTATTAGGTAGATTATCAAGAAGTTATGGACACATATTTTTCCTTTTTACACTTAGCATAACATTACAGAGATATATTGATTTAAAATGTCGCATGACGTAAAACTTTGGTACAATTTATACTAAGCAGTGACGTCTCCCCCAAACTTTGAAGTACTTTATCTTTGTAATTTTTGATTTGATTTATAAATGAAAAAATGTGTTCATTATTTTATGAAAACCTAACTGGCGGATTAAATAGAATTTCGTTTACTTTACCCCGCCGTCGCCCCTATTAATTGAGAGCGTCCTCAATAAGTAGTTTGGGTACAGAATCTTTAACAAGCGGATACACAGATCTCTGTACAGAGTGCTTCCGAATGCTAACGAACCATTCGACTCGCCCGTCCTGTCAATACCGCAAACAAAACGAAACGATCGCACCGAAAGCGAACCGATCAAGAAGTTGTCTCGGTAAAGAATTTGTACAGATTCGGTGAGGAAAGCGCCTTAGGGAACAGTGTAAGTTTCATCAAAATTGGTTCAGTTGTTTTTAAGACATGGACTAAGAGAAAGATTTTTTATGACACTAATTCATCGATGACGAATATAGAACTAAGATTAATGCACAAAAGATTATTTTCAAAGTTCGGGCAAGCAATGAGAAAGAATTTAATGAAATTCTACTACTATAATTACTCATGAAAAGTTGAAAGTTTGCATGGTAAAAGTAAAAATACACTGTCTTATAAAATCAATGTACTTAAACTATTAGGGAAATAACTTTCTCATTTATACTTTCAACCCCTATTCTTTAACATATTATTTAAAAGTGTATGACGTTTTTTCAAAACCTTTGCTTGCCTGTTATGTTCAGTTTTTGATAGGCACATTTATTGAAAAAAACTGACATCGGATTTGTTAGCTAATTACAAACACAAAAATACATACTACATTCAATAAATTGGGCACATGTAAGTATTTAGAATTTCATATTATAACTGACAAATTTTGTTACCCTTTTTTTACAACCTCGTGACAAAATCAGCTGAATATAATGAAATGATATTATTAAATTGTTTACCAACAACGACCAGTCTATTTATTCCCCTATAAACGACTGATACACAAGCCATTCCTTTAGTCATAAAATATAAGCTAGACCAACCGTTTTGTTTTATTTTAGGAGTATGGAACAGCTCAAGAAAATACTCTTTCAATTGACCATTCGGAAGATTTGCTTTTCGTAATATTTCTTCATATCTAACAGCCCTTTTCAATAATAAAACGACAGTAAGAAATTGGTCTACTAGAGCTTTGTCGCCAAGAATTTTTTTCATTATAAGACTATAATAACAACTGCTGTTAAGAAAATTAAATGAAACCAGATTATCATTTTTCTGGAGGTTAAAATTGCTGCTGTTAGACAGCAGACTTTACTCAATACTGCTATATCATGAATGGTCAGATCAATTCATCACTTTGAAAAATAAACTTATGAGCTCCTTAACTCGTATACAGATTTTCCTTGGCAAATGGTATCTCGTATTAGTACTCCACGAAAGGGCATTCTTTAATGAATCGAGAATGGACAGGGTAACCCTTGAACACTCCATTTAAAAACCTCAAATTTTTCGAAGAGTATGGATATGCTCATATTGACTAAGATTTGCTTTCCACGACTTATCACACTATTGCTTTATGCCAATCATATCTCCCGCAGCATCATACAACGTCAATCCTGAATGTGATAACTGATCAGGCATAATTTTAACTTGGCTCCTTATAAAATAGCCTTTTTTGTCTTGTGCACTGAAACATCGACGAACGCACGCCTACATATTGTTTTTTGCAAAAAATTAAAATCAAATTCAATTAGCTGTGACTGTAAGAAACATACACGCACAAGCATCCGTACATTTTAGTAAGTAGGAACATCCTGAGCGCTATGATATTGACAATCTGTCGGTTTGATGGGTCCATAGACATAAAGAATGGACTGAGCGACACTCACGTAAAATAGAAAACTTTTTAGAAACAAAGAAAGAGATAGTGCTAAATTATTGGCTGAACGATCGCTTCACACACTCCAAGTTAGCCATCTTTATTTTACTGTTGGACAGGGAACGGTCCATCCATTCTTTATATCTGTCAGTCTATGAAAAGGCCCTAATGAAGGGTTAGTATCAGAATATGTCCAGCGGCCCAAGCGCACTTACGTTGGCGTGCGGCGGTGAGGTGGGGCTCACTGCCGCGTTAGGTTTCTTCCTGTCGTCGGAGCGGATGGCCGTGGTTGGCAGGTTGATTGTGTTCGCTTTAGCGTGCGGCCTCTGCGTCCGCCGGAGCTCGGGCGCGAGCCGGGCGCCCAGCGATGGAGGCACGCTTTCCGTTTTACGCAGACCGCACCAACCCTCACCCATACTACAGGGACGGGAATAGGTAGAATTAAAACAAAAAAAAACAACTAAAAATATAAAAAACGGGCTAACCAGCTTCCTTATCCACTATTTTTGGTTATTTCTAATAACTGTATACCAAATGTCTTTAGTTTAACGTTTTCTTAAAATTGGTGCGAGTTTCGGCCATAATCCGGATGCCGAATATATTATAAAACACCATAACGAAACTAAAGACATCGTAGTTCTATTGACTATAGTTCTCCTATCACACACATAAGCAAAAAGCTGCTATTCATATATACCTTTAAACTTTATTAAAGTCAAAGACAATGAAATAAAACGATAAATTCTACAAGTGAATTCTATTTAATTATTTTTAGGCTTAATTTCTCCCCAAATACTATAGTAAAACAACTGATTGTACGTGTGAAGCGCATCGTAGCTATGGTGTCAATGTGCCTATAGCCTAATTGCGCGACTTTACGACAAAGCTGGCCCCCAAAATAATCCATAATAAACAAAATAAAATTTATATAAAAAGCATGCGGGACTACAAGCATTAAATCACAAGCGTTTTTTATTCACATTTATTGGTTACTCATGTAACATATAAGTAGTTCGGTATTACAGTGATTGTTAGAAATTTATACTATATACACACTTCGGATCGATAGGCAAATATATACATATGACAAATACAAAACTAATGCAAAGATAACATCATTTTTAAACTTATACACTTCAGAAGAAGTTATCTCATGTAGACATATCGAAATACAATAAATATAATATAGTTGACATAAGATATATTTTATTTGAAAATATACGGAGATGATTCGTTGAACAGATAGATTTAAAGGGAAGTGTGATTTGTTATGTGTAATATTATTGCAACGTCTCACTCGTTATGTAGTATATGGAAAACAAATGACAAAGCTTAATAAGCGCCGATCACAAAACATCGCCGCTATTGTGACGTCTTACAAATTGTAATAACAAAATATATTTAGCTATTCGCAAAACTCGCAGGCTGTTATCCTGTAGCAGTGCAGCCACAACGAACCCACAGTTCGCAATTAAAGCAATAATCACATTTATTAACATAATTACATAATGAATTATTCTCGATATCAGTTGCCGATCACAGTCACTGTTTAGTTGATGTCAACTTAATCAGTGACTCATATAGCCCTTTTGTTCTTACAAAGACAGATTCTCCAAAAGATGACTTTAAATTACATTGATTTGGCGAAAAATAAGCCGCACCAAATTTAGTGTTTAGTAAGATACTTACAGATAAAATCTTTGGTACTATCATAATATAAATATTAATTCTTTTTACTGGTATTTTCTTTCATAATATAGGTATTAGTAAGTCTCATCGAGTAGTAGTACGTCTGACTGCAAGTACAAGAGACGCATTTGGCAATTCAATATTTAAAATCTTTATAAACATTCTTTTTGAGAATACATCTTGTTAAGAACCTTTTGTTACAAACCGTCATCGGTAACCTCTTTACATGTTCTGTTTCTAATGATACAGAGACGTGCCGACTTTACCACATTAATTTTGGGATTTCAATTGCTTATCTGAGGTACAAAAGCTTATAAGTGCTCTACTGACTGCCAAAATAACCGAAGCGATCTTAAGAATTTTAAACTTACTGGAAACGCTCTAGAAGTCTAAACGAAACAAAAGTGATAAATGTTTTAATTGCCGATTTAATAACGCAAAAAATTCTGGCAGTGTCGCACAATAAGCATGTGCTTCAAATAACATTCAAAGTCCTCGAGCGAAGTTTTCTCACACCAGATGCACCCCACTAACCATATTTTATCACATCTTCTATGTTTAAATTATCGATCAGCGCATAATATGGCAAACTATAATATACGTGTAAATATATTTACCATTAAATGTATCTTACACACTATGAACATCAAAAGCAGAGTTGTAATAAGCATTTTAATGTTACGTTAACATATTAAAGTTGGCTATTCCCTAAGCTTATAATTTATATCCCGGGTACAAAAGTAAGTGAATGGTTCAAAATTTCGTTTACAAAATATACGCGATATGAGGAAACTAATGTGATCGAATTTGGCCCCTATACCTAAACTAAGTATTTCGGAATTAAATGTCGTGTAATAATTAATTAAATTGGTATCGGGGTTACTGTGTGAATAATGTGAAAATATATACGGACTCGTAAAGTACCTAAGAAAGCAAAGGCTGCTCCTTATAACTATTTCTATTTTATTGATACGTTTTGGATACATTAATATTGAATGACAATGAATAGTTGCATACCCGACTGTGAAAACACATTGGTAGCATTGTCGGGCAGACGATGTTACTTCTTCTTGTTGCGTTTACGAAATCACCGACAAATACACAACTTTTTCCAATGAGTTGTTATCCCCACAACAATATTTTACTAATATATTATATGGGCTAAATTACAGCATACCCCATGTAAAAAAATTAAGAATTTTGCTTACTGATATTGGCAGTATTGCTTCTCTTTCTTCTGTTTGTATTATTCGTTACAATTTTAATTGTAACTGAAGAAAATATCGTGTTATGACGTATTGTCTACGTAACAAAATCGTACAACATAATGTCGGCTTGAATTCAACGGGGAATATGTTACGTTTATAGCATCTTACCTACTATTACCAAACCATCCTCCCGATATACTTCCGTATCTCCATTCCATTATTTCCAGTCTTCTTCATTTCTATTCTTAAATCTAAGCGGTAAAACATTAGCATTAAATGCATTTTCGTCCAGAAATTATATCAATAATTTATTTAACATTGTTTCTTTTCTATATTCACTCTTTTTGTTTAATGGGTTAAGGTACAAAATTACATGTAACGTACAAATACTGAAATTATATGTAGTAGTAAGAGTTTGTCCTTATTTGATTTTTCCTAGATTTTGTGTGCTATACTCACTAACCTAAGATCAACTGCGAATTGTGATTTACAATTTTCGCGATATGACAGGGTAATCTTCCTAAACTATGTCCCTAGAACAAAGCATAATAATATTTTCGGAAATCTAGAAATTTGTTGAAGCATTTCACTGCTTCAAAATGTAAATGTCAGTCTGTACTGACTTGACTACTTGTCAAATGTGGAAAAAAGATACGCATGACATTGGTCAGTTGTCAAAATTGATATTAGCTGGCAGTAACATTTATAAATTATTGCAAAGACCATTTAAATTTATTAAAACGCAAACATCGAGTATTTTAATGGATAATATACAATAAACCAACGAAACAACCGTATCCAAGAATAGATACTTATAGATGTTACGATTTATAAGTATACATCCGAAATACGTTAACAATACAAAAGTTTCGAAATAAATACATCTAAATATCAATTCCAGTGTAGTAATTAGCCTAACATGGACAATTATTACTCACTATTTATTCAAAATGGCACGCAATCTTACAATTGACCAGCCGCTTGTCCGAGCGGGCGTGCGCGTTTACATACATACACCTCACTGATACAATACAAACACAATATTTGTATCCATCACCGCATGTCATTATATTAACACAAAATAGTTCTACTCTATATTGCTGCAAGCACGAACGGTTCATCAGCCAAAAGGACATTCGGCACATTTATGTGTGATTTGAAATGTTATGTTTTATTATTTATTAGATTTTGGCATCGATTGTTCACTACTAACAATTGTGTACAAATGAATGACCTACATTTCAGAAACAATCAGTTTGAATATGCATTAAAATCAGTTGATAAACGTAGTATTTAATATTTGAAAGGCAATTATAACAAGAAGTAGGATTGAAGTAGTTTACTATGTGGCTTAATTGTAATAAGTTGCAATTACGTCATGTCCCGTCGGTTAGAACGTGTCTACGTACAAATTAAGGGTTCATAAGCTGGAATCTGTCAATTTAAGAGAATGATAACTAGATTAAGTTTAATCGATCAACGCTCAACGACTTAACCTTTTCATGGAAGAAATTTAAAGATACCAGATGAAGCACTGCGAAACTGCAATTTTCTTCAACCTTTATAGAAAAACTCTTATCAAAAAACTTTTAACAGTACAAAAGTGGCGAATGTCCTTGAAAAATGATGCTATATAATACTAAAATATTGCATTATGTGTAATATATCTTCGGAGTCCACTTCGTGCCTGCTATCACTAAAATCGGCGAGGTCGAGAGGAGAATCACGAACCATTCGATATTTTTAAATTGTTATACTAATGTGCTGCTAATGATCACACAATTCTGTCGACCTTTACAATTTTATAATTAGATAAAATACATTTTTTTATATTAATATACAATTAGTCGACGACGCGTTAAAGATTCTCCAGGAGTTTTACTGTTGATTTAGATTTCGGAGTGTCGATAGTCATTTGCCTTTAGTATTTAAATATAAATGTTTAGTAACCCACAATGCATTGAAGTTATAAAAATAACATTTGTTTTAATAATTGTAAATACTACAGGCTGTTAAAGCAATTATGTTAGTGTTAATGCTTGGCCTTTCGCAGATGACAGACTAACGCAAAAGAGAGTAAGGTTAAACTTTTCTCTGTGATCTTTATAAAGAAATCTCAACTTTTTTTGCATTTCTTGACAGTGATTATCACATACAGGATCGCGGCGTCTCTGTAATATGCGCAGGCTTAATAGCAGATAGTTATAGCAGTTAATAACAGACCCGAGTGCCATACTATAATCCAGTCATTCCTCAATCATTTATATTTTTTATAAATCACCATCGACGCATGAGTTTTGGAAACTGAGCCTCATAACTGAAACACTAAAATATAGACAAGCTTTAGTTCGCCCAGAGCTGTGAAGCATATGGCACTCGAAATGTTAGTTAATCACGCACTGTGGGTAGTGAGTATTGGTGCATAATTATCCGACGTTATTATGTAAAATGTAATTACGTGTTCAATATATGAACATGATTTTCGATAGGCAATTTCTTAAAGAAACTGGAAAGACCGTCGTTACTAACGATAAAGGGAACAGTATAAAAGGCAGATAGGTATGCTCCAAGTTAGTAAGAAACAGTTAATGAGTACATGCGGTTAGGGTTGTAAACGCCCGGGCCGGTCCATCTGGCCCCGGGCCAAACGGGCCGTACGCCAATCGAATAAACGTCTTACAAACAGTTCAGCTATTACAAATTTTAAAAAAATATTTTTTCTTTAAAAACACTATGATGTCTTCACGCATTACTAATTGTCACTTCTTGAAGTTTTGAAAAGCTTGAGAAATTTACTTTCAGCATTGTATTTTCCTGATAAAGTGTGCAACTGCCTTCAATTTAGAATAGCGATACATTTTTAGGAGGGTCGCGTGAATATTTAATATTACTTTGTTTTATAACCAATTTATTACTTTTTAAATTATTAGAAAATTATCAAAAATTTATAGCACAACTACCATACATCAAAATGAATCAAATTATGAGAATGAGGTACGTTGATTAGTATTTAATTAAAGAAACTTAATGTATTACTTGTGGTAGAGAAAAGCATATAAACCACGCAAGGAACTACTCAGATCTAGAAATTTTCAGAAAGTACGAATATAAAAATTAAAATACGACTTTTTAATTTAACGACGCAGGCAACAAAAAGACACCTTATGACTAGATTCGAACGCGAAAACGAAACAAATAAAACTCGTGCGGTATACTGTGCACCGTTTAATATTGATGTACAACTCAGAAGTTGATTGATTTCTCTGAGTACAATGAGAACGCGGTCTTTGGAATGAGGCCCAATCACGAGATTTTGACAGCTCGCAAAATAATAGTCAAATTTTGTATGGAAAAAGCTAGTTTTTTCTTACGTCCGATAGGCGCTGCTTAGTTTTCATAGATACTTCAACGGTGGGATACATTACGGAGCTGTCAAAAACTCGTGCTTGGGCCACTGATGATAATCGTGATGTTTTTAGCGTACAACCCGCAGGCCCTTTATCCACAGGGCGTTACTTACGACGAGTGCGAGTGCAGTTCCCTGAGGTAAGCGCCGGGGTTCTCCAACGCCTCGCCGAACATCCGCTGGGACTGCAGAATGCTGGCCAGCGTGGCTGCCCACACGCCCTTACGACGCGGGTCGGAAGCGCGGCAAACGAACGATTGGCGCGGCTTGTTGGGGTCCACCGAGTGGATTATGAACGCATCCTTCCCTTCCACCTCTTCGAACTCCATTTTGTTCATCTGCAGATTGAGGAAGAGTTTAATAGGCATCTATCATCGTACAAATTTATACTAAGTTAGAATTGAAGTTGGAAGAGAATACATTCTTAATCTAAGCCTTTATAATGTCTCTGTTGGTTTAGGAAATAAAGGTATCAGTAATTGATAATCCCAGAAAGTTTGACCTAATGGAGAGTCAAAAACGAACTTGAAACACACGCGCCGCACAAAACGATTGACGCGGCTTAATTGGGTCTACGAAGTGGATTATGAACCCCCCCACCTCCTTGAACTCAATTTTATCATCTGTGATTGGGTGGTTGAGTTTAGTAATATCTATCATCCTTCAACCTCATACAAGCGGGTAAAAAATGCCTATACCAGATAAGCCTGATTCGAAAGAAAGACCTATGGAAAATCTGAGGCAAATTTGAAATTGATGTACTAAGCCAAAATATATTATGAAAATGCTCCATAGGAAATTAAATATACAGATATTAAAAACAGAAATGTTGACGATAGGCTGGCAACAACTTTGCACTAAATTATTGAGATCAAACTAATGCCAAATGTCATTGCTGCCATAGCTATAAGGGACTATAGGGATCATGGTAATCAATGCACATGTGATACTCCTTCCTTAGTAATACGCTCTCTTTACGCTGTATTGCTTGCCGTGACCTAAATTCGATCATATGCTTGTTTATCGCGTTTTCTCAGAAAACAGCGCAAATAAATAGGCTTTTCACTTCAACATAACACTTGTGAAGTTAGCAGAGAGCGCAATAATACGATGGTTTCAGTTCAGAGACATCGCACGAGCGCTTATTGCACCCAAAACCTCGTTTATAACGAGATGAATTCCATTCATTTTACAGACGCTATTAACTATGAATCGTAAGTTTACCCGCACAAGCGCCTTGTATTTGGGGTTAGAAAACTGACTCTTTTTGCCGACCGTCTCGCTGAATATGACGCACTAATCAAATAACAACACGTGCAGTGTCTTCAGAAGCTTCGTACGGATAGCGCGTTCCCAGGCACGCGTAGTCGTGGGTCTTGGAACCCTATATCCATTTCTGTGGCTACGCGTACACTCTTAGGGATAGGTTTTACAGATGGACGAAAATCGCCAGGATTTTCCCAACATATTATCTGATCTCCAGACTTCCGACTAATAACGAAATCTCCCGGCAGAAAAACATGATGACACACCTACCACAAAAATAATTATTTGTAAATGGCACACCGAAGGAGGCCCCTGACTGATTTTTAGTTCTCTTTATATCCGTTGTGCCGCTGCTGTTCGAGTTTCCATTCAAAATTTGACAATGACATTTTGCACTCGCAAACATAACGAATTTGATATTGGTTCGTACTAAGGGTACTGGGTGTTTTGATCGCGCGTCATAGGAATCACGCACGTCCGGTTACGCTGTATTTGGATGGCAAAATGGACGTATCGAATTCCAATTCTACAAAAAACCAGCCAAGTACTAGTCGAGTAAGCAGAAATGTTTGGTCAGGCAAGCAAGCCAAATGAGTGGAATAAGGATTTTGATTGCTAAAAACCGGCCAAGTGCGAGTCGGACTCGCGCACCGAGGGTTCCGTACAAACCTGTAGGAATATTTTAATAATTATTAAAAAATATTGTTTATTATATGATGTTACTAAAAATTTACTGTTTTCGCAATTGTTCCTTTATCTGTACTATAAGACGTTACTTCCCTAAGTCTAAGTTCCCGGGAAGTACCCTGGAGGTTTTGATTCCCGTGCGAGTTTCAAAAATTTGCAGCATAAACGGCTGTATCTTTTGATTGCTTTGACTTAGAATTTGACTTAGATTTTTTCACAGCTCCAAGGAACAGTAGACCTGAGTATTAGATATGAATTTCAGTTAGATACCTCCACGCGTTCCTGAGAAAAACGGTCTTGACAGACGGACGGACGGACAACAAAGTGATCTTATAAGGGTTCCGTTTTTTTCCTTTTGAGGTTACAAATTTAAAAATTACTGACGGGGCTTGCGTAGCTCTATGTATCGCTCGGCCTCGCGTTTCTGTCAAGGTGGGCAGCATGTCCCGGCTACGCGTAGCAAAGGTACGCGCTATACTTATAGGTAGCGTCAAACTTCTTGAGCAAAACCACAGACAAATAAACATGTGGAGTAGACGTTTTTGTATATAAAAATGCTACAGCGCAGACTTCTTTATCTATGGCCGTTGCCGTATACGCAGCCCGACCATACATACCAAATAAATAGGTAATTTACCACAACGTACCTGCACATGCGCCTTATAGTTATAGGTAGGGCTGGTAAACTGGCTCTTCTTGCCGACCGCCTCGCTGAATATCACGCATTGTTCGAACAAAAACACGTGCAACTCTTTGCCCTTGTCGTTGCCGCCTGTAGACTCTGCTACAACAAGCGCCTCCTGCATTAAAAGCTTGCCTTGCGCCGTGATGTTACCCTGGAATGTACCAATATATCGTTATTAAAGATAAGTTAGTAGGGTATAAAATGTACGCTATTGTTTTTATAAACTAATGCTCAACAAAAATTTGATTAAACGATCTTTGACGGATCATAATGCTTGTCAAATTTGCGGACTACTGCACTTAAAGAAGCACTGAAATATAATAACTTATCACACCTTTTCAGGTTTCAAATTTTATTATGTATGCAAAAAACTTACATACGCGCTTTATAAATTATTTAAACAGTGATTCATCACATTATGTATTTTGCAATGCAACTAATGGTAATTCGCAATAAAACATCCCTCAGTGAGAGTTAGACTCACCAGAGATTAATTTAGCGTCTACTGGAGGCTATATCTCATACGCGGAATGGCATATTTGAAGATGACGTAGGGGCAAATGTTTTCATTACAGAAAAGTTGTATGGAATATCCCTTTTTATCTATTTTTTGTATAATCGATTCGTACAAAAATTTTGATTTATAAGAATATTAATTCATGGAACCGCCTACGATTTAAGTTATGCATAAAATCGAAAGAGAATCCTTAAACACAGAAATAGTGGTGTGCATTGTGTGGTATTGGTAGGGTTTAAAAGAGACACGAGCGTAAACAATCGCATTGCAAAACATAATGCATTGATAGTAATTTCCCAGACTGGCAAACTTTTAACTTAATAATCGATTATTCAGAACCAATGCCAAAACATTAGTTTGTGTTTCTGTGGTAAGAATGGCGTTATATATACTCTTTTATAATTATGCCATAGTAAGTCTTACAGGCAAGAACCAAACCAATGCCAAACGTAGTGTCATCGACACATCCCTGCGACCTCTTACACCTCGTTTTAACCAAGAAACCAGTATTCTATTAGTTTTGTACAAAACTTGTAGAATACTTGTTAAAAACCAAACTTGTCGAAATATTTGTTTTATACATGTATTGTAATTGGCTCAAACATTGTTTCGTTCACACTGTGTAGCCAACAAGTATTTACACAAGTTTAAAACTCATTGATGTTTGTTTACACTCACGTCTGTGACATTGTCAAACTTGTCAGATACATCGATACCATTCTCACCTACAAAATATAGTCGTGTTTTAGACAAGTCTTGTTACTTTTATTGAAAGTTTTGTATAAAACTAATGACAAACAAGTTTAAGCCTTTATCTATGCTTATTGGATAAAGTTTGATAAATATTTTACCGGATAATTCACGGTTTCATTGAAAACTAGGGAAGAAGAAAAAGAAAAATGGAGTAGTCAAAGTAACAAACTTTGGATCCCATTGAGCTCTTGCATGTAATTAATAAATTCTCGAAATTAACTTAAGCCATCCTAACAAAATTTCTAAAACAACTTCTGTCTTTTACTCTTCAGTCATTTAATATAGAATGGTAGGCCCCTTCTTGTTTTTTTCTTCGCAAAAACGATCGATTCAAGAAAAAAATCGCAGTTTGCATGTACAAATATTCTACACATATGAAGTAAAGTTCTGCAGCTTCTTCACTTTCTATTGTCACAGTAGGATTTTTAGTAGATAATATTAAAACCTGAATTCAATTTGAGTTTTATACTACAAGTATTCTCAAGTCTTGTATTCTACAAGTTTAGCTGCAACATGTATAAAATATGTAGTATTTGTAGACAACTAGAAGCGGAACTTGGCAAAAACTCATTCACCGCAAATAACAAGTTCCATACAAGTTCAGTATACAACAAGTTCTAGAGTGAGAACAAAATATGAAAACATTGCATTAAACTTGTAAATTACATATATAATACCTTGGTGAAAACGAGGGGTTATTATACATAACAATAAAAAGATATCGAAATAGATATGTATGACTATCAAAAAAAATTTGGTCGTCATTGATAAAGTTTCGCTATTTAGATACACAAAAAAGCCAGGCATATGCAAAATTATATAATTTTAGTTCGCATTGCTGCTTAGCTTCGCTTTGCAAGAATAACGTATCTAGTACGAAGAGCATTTGCAGACTTATTCATTGGAAATCTTTATTTTTAATTTTACTATTATGACACTGCATCCTCAAGTATGAAGAGGCACCTGTTTATGTCTACAACTGCAATTATGTGAGTAAGAAATGCCATTAACCAGTTAACTTTAAAAAAAGGGCAAGTTGAACAAGCGCACTATCATGAAGCGACTGAGGTCAACAAAGACCCAATTCATGGTTTGCCTTGCATCTATAAGTTATAATATATTCGCATAAAAAATCTGTGTTTTATTCTTGAGGTGTGATTAGATACCCTGATACGATTGTGTGTACACCTTTTCATGAAAAAAATTAATTACAACTTTCTTTGGAATGGTTTATATTTTTTTTCATGTCGTCGTAAATACGAATTCAATAACCAAAATGATCATGAAAACAACATCAAGCAGCTTAGTGGTTACCAGCATATATCAAATCAGTGTACATACGCAATGCACTTCGCAAAACCACAGCAACATACACAGTAATTGTAGGCATAATAGCGTTAAGCTGCAATCAGCGAAGAGACCACTTCACATCACCAAAATTAAAATCTATATATATAAATCACTACCGCGTCGATGCAGCGTTGCCAATTAAATTAAGCAGAACAATTCGCATCGAGCCGCATCAAAATTCATTTGCTATATGAGATTAAATTACGCGTCCGGTAAAATTATTATGTGCTAATTGATATTAAGAGCCCTTTCACATTTTTTGCAAAAACTCGTAATTTTTGAGCGCCTCGTTTACCCCCTTAGAAAAGATTTTGACTATTTCCAATAGAAGTAAACAGTAGATTTATTATTCCTATTGTAATTTAATGTAGAATATTTGCAAATACTATTTTTGTACTGATCGTTCTACTGCAGCTAGTTTACGGAAAAAACGATAATATGCACAACTTGAAACGTCTCAATCTCTCAATATTGTTCAATAAATTAGATCAAATTAATTACTACGACATCAGAAATATGTTTTTGTTGTAACATAATGTATTAGAATTAAGATTTTCCATCTCATTATTTATCAAAAAAAAAATCTAACCTCCGTGAGTTTTCCCAAAAAATAATGCAGGTTTACCTCGTATTATGATATTTGATATTGAATCAAATAAAAATTTCAAAAACTTTCATAAAAGTAATCTACCATCATTGAACTACTAGTTCATTAATAATTATTTTATAAGACTCGAAACATCACCCGTAAAATGCAATACCTATATACCTAGTGCAAATGTACCAATCGCGCGCAATTTTGTAAAAGGGCTCTTAAATGAATATTGGCTTACCGTGAACCCCTGTAGGCGCCCGACGTCCATCATCATATTTGCGTTCTTTGGAATTATGTCTGTGTAGTGTACAGCGTCGCGCAGAGCCACGATCACCTCTGGCGGCGCCTTGGCCAGTTCCGAGTAAGAGAGAATCTTCTTCACCAACAAATGGTACTTTTGAATTCTCTGGATTGGCTTTATGAGCAAATCGCCGAGCTGAAAATTCGATTAACAAAATCAAAAACCGTTCAAACCGCAATCAGCTACGTAAATTAAGTAAGTCAAAGATCGGTCGAAGGTAAAATTTGATGCATGCGAACATCAAAAAGCGTTATAAATGCTGAGTATGTGTTATGATTGTGATCAGTGTGTGTGTTGATTTGTTAAAGAAAAATAATTTCCCCGTAACTAAATATAATAGGTTATGTTGTGTGAGTGAATGAGAATGTGTAAAAAAAGTACAAAGAGAAATTTGTCAAGTTCTTGTCACATTAAATGATGACTTAAATTTAATCAGTATCCTTTATTTTAGCGTACAAAAAATCGGCGTGTTACCCAGTCTAAGGAGGTTAACATTTTAAATATTTGGAATAGTAAATAATAACAAGAACAGGTTTTGATTACATATTGTACTGTTGATCATATCATATACCAAAATTTTAGCAAATGCTAATAATACAAATTATTTAATTACCATGTAAAAGATCCTTTAAAACACGCACATAAGGTAAGGAGTCCAAAAATCAAGATCACGGTTCTATGCATATAGATAATGTACCTACTAAATATTTTGACCTATCATAACTAGGTAATGATTGCATGTCAATGCGAAACTTGACGAAGCAATAGTACTTATACGATTTAATAGTCCATATATAACACAATTATGTTAAATGCTCGTCCAATACACATGAAATTATTATTATAGAATTCAATGAACTGAGGTAATGGCGCGCGTTATTGCGAAACCAGCGCATAGACAAGATAGATACAGGTCTATTGCAAGGGTATTATGTGGTAGTCTGATTACAGTATTATAGAAGCCTGTATTATAATTTCACCTAATGCATGTCATTATTACTGTATGTGTATTCCATCAGATGAATAATCTTACTCTTCTTATGAATACTCTTTGAATTCTAATAGAATTTTAATCCAAAAGCATTAAATATGTACAGCAGTATATGTACGAAAGTCAATTCTAAAAGAATTTAATAGGTTAATTATGCCGGGTGACGGAAATTACATTGTCGTTTCCTTATTTTTTAGTAATTAAAGACGATACATTTAAATTTAATTTTCAGTCCAATATGAGAGATGATAATTACAAAATATTATACAAAGAAGTTATGAAAACTACAACGGTATCAAAACCACACGCCGATTTCACACAATCTCAAGACGTTTTATACAAACACTTTATTTTTTATAGTATTCGGTTACGTACATTGCCAAATGTCTCTTAATGAACATGCAAGCTGATACCTGGTCGTCGTAGAGCCATAGTGAGAATGATCACAATGAAGAAACACACAATTGCTGCAAATTCAGCAAGTTATTTGACTATCGATTTTCCCGATGACATATACGACAACTTTTTTAAGATCTATGCGATGACAACAATCATTGCTTTGGTTGACAGCGATCGACTTCGGAGCGTGACCCTATCACGCCCAGATGTCGACTTATTATCGTGGATCAAAGCATGGCTGGTACGCAGAGCGACTGTTTAAAGCCAATATAAATTTTAATTTTGAAATACGCAATAAATTTTGCCCCTAGTCCTATTCAATTTAATCCATTTTTCGATTTTTGTCCAAAATCAAATTTGGAGCGAATAGGCAGGTGGTTGTTTTAGTACCAGCGTTGCCCGCGCGATTTTGAAATAGTGAATGTGATTGATACCTGGCTTAAGCTATACCGTGCACCAGGGATGTAAGTTCGTTGCCTAAGGCGCACCTAGAACCCCACCAATAGCTCCAGTTGGTAAAACACATACAATCATGGTTTTGTAAATACTTAATGATTGTTTCCATTACCCTGATCTGGTAAAACAAACATTCCAGAGCTTGATTTCTTATAAATTTCCTTTTAACCTTTTAAAACTTTAGCTGATACTAAGGACAGGACATTGGAATCAATTTTTCTGTGATATTGACGCCTATCGTGAACCATTGTTCTCTTCAAAGATAATGGAAAATACAAAGAAACAGACAATTCTACACTCACTTTAACCATGATATGTTAAAGTGAGCGTAAACTGTCGAAAGTTACATCACATCAAAGAATAACCATGCAATGCCATGTTGTTAATATTTTTATTTGTTTATGTGCTTTAATGGACCGATAGCGTATTGCTAGTGAGTTAAGCTCGTAGTGGCAGTTCGAGCAACTGCTCAGTAGATTATCGTGTAAGTTTGACGAAAGCAACTAACCTGGAGCTTATGGCCGAGTTTGTGTCGCAACTCCTGGAAGTAGTGGTCGTGCTCCGAGACAATGTACTCGGAGACGGGCTTGTTGCGACAGTACGCCTCGTAGAGGAACATCCTCTTCTCCAGGAAGCGGTGGAACAGCGGCCCCAGCAGCTCCGGCGCTGCCACGCATTCGTGTAGGTCGCGCACGAACTTGCTGCACACAACCATCACACATCGTACTCACTCACAAACAGAGCGCGCCAGCGAAACATTTCTATACACTAATATTTTAACAAAAAAAAACAAATGAAGAACAAATAGAACAAAAGAAAACGCAACTGAAACATTTACAATAGAAAAGTACATAAAAATGCGTTGCATTATTTACATTAAAAACAACAACAAAGTCGCATATCATAAATCGCATACCAATAAGTCGTCGCATAGCGTTACACAACAATACAATGGTAAATAATGATAAAATTCACACTTCAGATAATAGTTTCAAGGCGAACCCTGCAGGAAACGTGTTCGTCACAAAATGTGTTTATTGCGTTGTGTACATATTGAAGAAGCAAAGAAGAAGCCTATCCTTTTAATTTTGATAAAATAATCAAATAACTCGAACAAGATGTATTGAGGTACCGATGTATAAAACAGTATAACAAGCCAGTGCCGTTACTGGGATTGCGTAAGCCACAAAACGTCAAATCGCATAGCATAGTTAATAATTAAAACTCGATATTGAAGCTCTGACGTTGAAATTGAAAAATATCCACGTTTACGGTAGCGAATGGCAGCTTCAAAGCCTCCAGGCGGTTTTGGTGTGGAGTCTGGGTCAAATAATTTTGTTGCAACTTTTATTATAGAAATTTTCTACTCTTCGAGAAGCTAATTAGTCTACATATGAACAAATCGATATGAAAATATTGTGAACAATATTATCTTATCGTTCAGAAGAGGTAAAATAAAAATTTTGTGTATAAAATTTAATGCTTGTACGCCTACTGTTCGTTAAGAATATAACATTACTTTATTTTATGATACTATGAATATTGCTTTGACATGCCGTATTAATAAACCACGAAGCCATTTTTTGCACGATCTAAATAACAGCATTTATTGTGAGTACTTTCGCAATGAAGTAGTATACAACCGGTATATGAAAAAGATCCATTATTAGCAATTTAAATAGTTAAATTAGTCAAGCCACAATTAGTAAGCACATAAATAAAATGTGTCGTTCACGAGTACAATTACAAGCGACGAGGTGTAATGTTAATTTTAATGTAATATTTTTTAATTACCAGTTATTTAATTTCAATATATATATATATATATTTCATCTCAATGCAATGTTTCTCAAGGACTTCGATGATTGAGTAGACGAGAGGTCAAGGCGAATATGGAAACAAATAAACTATATCTTTAGTATTGATTGCTCATAACACTGGCAGTTGTACTGAGGACACTACTTTAATACTCCAATTACCGAATACTCAAACATTTCTTAATTTTAATCATAGCTAGGGTGATTTTATGTTTAAAAATTTACTCTGCTAAAATCGGTCAGCATGGTTCAGAATTAAATTGTCAATTAAATAAAGATTATGCAAGCAAACATTTGGTACAAAAGTTACAACTTAACTATATTCAATCCACACACAGATGTAATGTTCATACGAAACTTACAAACAATTTCAATTATTCAAACAATACTTTTGCAATAATAATCACTGTCGTTCACTGTTTTCTGGTACAGGTCTGACTCTCGGATAAAAAGATTTGACATCTTTAAAATTAGACAAATTTAGATTTCTGGCTGATTTTATTGTTGATTTCGCTGATTGAAATACAATCCACTTTACAATGTTTATAGCTCCTAAGCTTGTTGACATATATTATACTTTCTTTTAACCGTAGAAACACATTGCATATTTGAACAAAATGTTTGAGTATTCGCCATTTATGTTACGACCAACATACATAGTATGTATATACTTACTCTCGATGCCATTCGTAGATGGCTTCGATGTTGCCAAATATCATGCGGTGACGGCGGTCCCGCAAGCCTTCCGGTATCGGCGGGTCAGGATTAGCGTCCTGCCACACAAGCGTACATCAACATCCCGATCTTGAATTAACGAGTTTATGAAAAATCTTATTGAATAAGATACTTTATATGTTTTTATTCTGCTCTTTAATATCATAGTAACCCAATTTTTGTGAGTTTGATTACTGACGAATGACAATAAATGGGCAGTGGCAGTGATTCTAAACCACAAAGATTGTACGAAACGGTTTTTTTAACATTAAGACATCATTAAGTAGTAGTCAGTAAGTAGCTGACAAGTATGGAATTGATTTTTAGGGCCAAGGTTGCTCACAAATTCATTTGATCTTTAAATTCTATGAGTTAATGGTGAATCTTTGTTTGCGATATTTATAAATAGAATAAGAAGATACGACGTGATTAACGACCGCACTTAAAGAGGTCAATTAACTCTTACGTTTGACTAAATTTGATGTTGTTATTTTTTTTAAGACGCGACTTCTTGAAATAAATTGTAGTTTCTTTGTACGGCTGTTAATATGGTATGAAGCGCAACCGCACATGGAGCCACAGCACCACGATGAATCGTATAGCGGCAACTAGTGGCCGCCACTAAGCCACTGGCAGCGGCGGTTGGTGGCCGTGTCTTGTGGCATGACTGAGCCACTAGTGGTCGCGTTTAGTGGCGGCGACTACCTATTGGCTTAATGTGCGGTTGCTCTAAACATCGAAGTTAAGTTTTCCTAACAATCCGTTTTCCCACATACCTGGAAATGGCGAATATATCCCTCGCAGACCAGGCGCAGGTCGCTCACGTATATGTCTTCGGTGTCGACCAGTTCCCGCAGCACGTATTCGCGCTTCTTGAGGATGGCCTCGATAGAGTCAGTGGCGGGCGGCGGTGTGCCCGGCTCCTCGCCACCGCCCCGGGCCTGCGCCGACCCGTGCTGTTCCTGGTGGTTGTGCAAGTGCTGTCCAACATTCAACACGTTGCTATAACACCAATCTCATACGGTAGAACACCCCGAGAAACCTCCTTGAGCATTAACCATCGACTAAGTGCCTGTCTACATCTCCACATCATGACGTCGTCAACGTGGAATGGTGCGGTAACGCGGCACGGTGTGTTGACATAACGTGCAAATTTATGTTACCATAGGTATCGTTAAATTGAACACACGACGCCGTGCAAAGTTACATGTCGCTGTGCCTTGTAACATTCCGGTATATATTAACTTCAGTACGACGACGTCAGACGCGCCATCCTAAGACGACGTTGCCATGCCGTGCAATAGCACGACGCGGCAACGTACCGTGCCACGACACCGCACCGTTTCACGTTGACGACGTCGTAACGAGGAAATGTGGACAGACTCATACATCCCGAAAATCATACAACGTGGACAACGGAGCCTGCGTAGCACCAATTTCACAAATGTCACTACTACTGCACAACGTTATTAGTCTGTGATTTTGCTCAAGAAGTTTACCGCTACATATACCTCAAAAAAGTTAGACACTATTTTAAACCATGTTTTTAGACAAATGTTGTGTGATATTTTTCTAACACCGTGTTGACCGTATGACTAACTTTCTTGTGGTTCAAAGCATAGCGTCGTTAAGCGTTCAAAGCATCGTAAAAAAATCTGTCTTTGCAATGAGGAAACTGTAACGTCGCTACCGATTAAAACTATGACTGCATAAATGTATAAAACTTTAATTCTAGCACTTCACATGGTTATTCGTATTTGCTATTTGTCGTTTCGACAGCAGTATGGCCTTATCATGCTCTATAGAGAATGAAAAGGAGACGCTGCTGTCAAGTTTACAAATAGCATATACGAATAGCCCTGTGCAGTGCCGACATAAGAACAACAACAACAGCAGCAACAGGTTGCAACTGCAACCACGAATAATAGTAAACAAGCACAGGATTATGTCCAATTTGCATAGGTACGTCTACATCTTTTCATAAGTGACTGTACTAAAGCGCAGCCATGATTTTTCCAGATGCTAATATTAGTATATAAATAAATTGTTCAGTATCAATCGTTTATATCAATCCCAATGAATCATTGCATATTTCATGTTTTGGCGTTACGTCATTTGTAACCATCAGCTTATTTATACGACCAAAACGAACGTACGCAACGTACATTTATTTATCAGAGCCGTTTACTCACATGCTCTGAAGGATTGTCTTACGTCATTCCGGAAGATGCCATCGAGGACTATATAACAGGATACGTTGTGGATTAAGATATAGTTATATTTGAGGTTAAGAATTAATAAGTTTAAAATTAACTAACATAAATTTATAAAGAAAGCACATTGATTATAATAGATAGACAGAAGAAAGCGTAATAAATGAACCAACACAAAACCAAACCGACAGAGATAAAAACAAATTTATAAGGTTGTTTAACGGGGTGTTTTTTGCATATATACTTAATAACAAAAAAAAAATCTGGACGTATGCAAGCTGTACTTATTTTTTACTAGTGGGGTTATTTTGTCTTTTGTGGAGTGATTGTTTTCGCATACAATATTCCACTCTGTCACATATAATATACTAAAAAAATCCCGTTAACATTTTATTATTACAAGATGAAGAAGCCTTCCTTCTTCAAAGATTATATTTAACTATCAGAATTCATCAATATCAATCCAATCATTTAGGCGTGAAAACGATATACAATTCGCATTTATATAAAACGAACACAAGTTAAATTTACTTAACAACTTTAAATGCGATAAAAATTTCTCTCAGCATATCTATTAACATTCATGTTCCAGAAAACACGAGTAAGTACCCACTTAAAAAAAACAGAAACGATTAGTTAAGTCACACAGGCGTAAACAAAATATGATCAGCGCCATGCAAAGTGAGAAGCATTTACCATTAAGGTGGCAGTTATCAAGAGGTGTGCTATACTTCGACTTTTTATTAGCTGCAGTAAAATGACGTTTCAAAATGTCATTCCGTAAAATAATGTTGACAGCCTAATTTCAATAGGGATGTGCTTAGGTTCACAGAAAATCTAATCGTTCCATAAGTAACTCATAATGATCATACTTAATTCTATTTATTATTCATATAAATAAAAGGCTGTGTAAAATCTCATGATGGAGATACATTTTTATCTCCTAAGAAAATAAGGCCACGTGTAGCTCTAAGTGCAACCGAGAAACTTTGGGTCAGAAACGTTAAAAATATGTGTTTGAAGTGAAATCTACAGAATCAAACATTTAAGTTCCAAAAACAAGTGAATGCGTCAACCAGGTGGCTGAAGTCTTGGGAATATCCGTCCGCACTGTTTATTCCGTTTTAAAGGAGCACAAGGAGAACGACTGTGAATCACTAAAACCTCCCGAAAACTTACATTTAAAGAAAAACTTGATGATTTCACATTCACCGCTATTAGACGAATTGTACATCAGTTCTGTCATAGAAATTAAGTACCAACCATCGCAAAGGTTAGTTTACCTGTCATCACTAATCTTATTATTATTCGTTAGGTATAATATGTTTTCACCCACCCCATGTGAAATTTTAACCAATTAGGTAATAATAAGTCAATAATTTTAAGGTGCTGCAAGTTGTAAATGATGACTCAAAATTGCCCAACTTCTCGAAAGAGACATTGAGAAAAATTATGAACCATCTTAATTTCAAATTCGCTACTTGAACACGCAAGAGCGTACTTATTGACAGACAAGATATCATATCATGGCGCCAGCGCTACCTGCGTTTAATTAAACAATATCGTAGGGAGGGAAGATACATATATTATCAAGACGAGACCAACGCTGGTAAGTGACAACTCTTAGTTTTTTATGTTTGATCTCCTTTTATTTAGCTGTCGAAACATATGATTATTTTTTGTTCTTTCAGGTCATACTACAAAAAAAACCTGGAGTGGTGGAAGTATAAAATCTTCTCGGCACGCATTTTTAAACGGTCTAACTACGGGATTAAAAAATCCCACAGGAAAGGGCAAACGACTCATAATCAGTCACATAGGCGGAGAAGAAGGCTTCCTGGACGACGGACTTCTTATGTTTGAAGCAAAGAAAGTTACAGAAGATTACCATGATGAAATGAACGCAGAGTGTTTCGAGGAGTGGTTCGACGGCATTCTACCCAAACTCAAGCCGAATGCAGTAGTCGTAATGGACAACGCGCCCTATCATTCTAGGAAGATCGAAACAATCCCAAAGATGTCGTGGACGAAAGCACGAATTCAAGAGTGGCTGACCACTAAAAATATTACATTCGAACCAAATATGGTGAAGGCCACTCTCATAGATATTGTAAAATAACAAAATCATACTGAGAAATATGCCGTGGACGAGATTGCTGAAAAAGGTATCAGACTTTTAAGACTGCCCCCTTATCACTGTGAATTTAACTCCATCGAGTTGGTTTGGGCTCAGGTAAAGGCGCACGTCGCAAACAATAATAAAACATATAAAATGCAAGTGAAAACTTTGAGGAGTGACTGTGTGTCTCACTCTATAAAAGAGGAAGACAAAATGTGCCACCTCGTACCATCATATTATAGATGAAGTGACAGACAGATTTGTCATTAGTGTGACCGGAAGCGATAGTGATTCCGAAAATGATTTATTAATAAATAACATTGTTATGACAATTTTGTTTAATTTTGGATGTACGTCCTTATACTTCCACTGAAAAAGATCAATCCTTTACTAAAGTAATAATAATAGAATAAAAAAACATTTTAACTTAATATTAAATCTCTAAAATAAAACCAAACTGATCACTCATTTATTGAATGATTCACTTACTCACTTAGTCTACATCCCTATTTATTTTTCTTCAAAAAGCGGTAACCCACAAAATGTCATTTTACTGCAGCTAATAAAAAGTTCTACTTTAGTTAGTAGTTTCGGTTCAATGTCATCGCAGAAACTGAGCTTTTACAAGTAACTAACTAGTTTTCTAACTTTTGACACGGCACGTGAATGTCGCGCTCTGTGTTAAACGTTAAAAGAAGTACGTATAAGACCGGAAGATAATTGGCTATTTCTTTAAAGACTTAAATAAAATTAGATCGTTTTTTTTTATCTGATGAGTGAAATCATAGAATACCTTTGAAAGTGAAGAATGAATTGATAAATTTAAAATTTACAACACTGGCAACGTTTAAAGAAGTAAATAGTAAAATGTATCCATTATTTTATGAAACAAGATGAAATCCAGTCTCATGCAAGCAAAGACAGTTGGTGTTAAATGAAAAGTAAGTGTTATGTAAAAAAAATTATCCCGCGGGTCATGCAATTAGATTCAGAATTATGTAATGGTTACTTAAGAGTTTAAACATACAATAATTAATAGGAATCAGATATTAAATGATCAAAATCACGGAAGTTCAAAAACAGTAGTTATCAAAATGTATATATTTAAGAGATCATTAGACGACATTAAAATTTATATCGGTAACTGACAATAAATTCATAACACACTCTGTTCCAAATGTTGGTGACAACGTCTAGTAGGTAAATCTGTGTGAACCAAGCACCTAATGTATGTATAATAATAATGTTTTCGATGAACTGTTTGATAAACTCGCCACTCGGTAGCAAAGTGCACTACACTCACAAAAACACAGGAAACGTGATTAAAGCAAGTACTGGTCGTCGTCGGAACGGCACGCCGCTGCCATTCACAGGACCCAGAGCGAGCGGCCAGCGAGACTTCACAACGCTTGAGTGAATGTCAATTCGTGTATGACAAAGCGACCGATCTACCAAACGCACGCGTCATAATATACATGCACACTCTACATGCTTTAGGCGGGAATCGAACCATTTTCTCCATAACGATCTGTTCTATTTCCGCGATATCAGCGGGACCACCGTTACTGTCCAATGCTTCGAGAGATAATGAGGCCTGAAAAATGAACCAGCATATCACCTAACGGTCCTGAGATGAACCCACAAAGTTAGTTACAGAGTTCGGTTAAAATGAAAGTTATCGTTGCAAGTATAGAGGAATGTCTTGATGTGCTTGCTTACCCGAGACGGAATCGACGTTGTGGCCGGCTGGGCGGGAGCTTGCAAAACAGCTTGGGGGTCCTGTGTAAACAACTCACATTAGACACTTCGCTCTTAATTAACTAAGCGGCAACTAATGTCTCCGTCTTAGTGGTTTGACTAATTTCTCTCCACGATGATTTAAAAAAGTTGCAGTAATATAGGAGAAAAATTAAGAGATTAATAATGAAAACCAACTTAAAGAAAATGTTTTCCAAGTCAATACATAAGAATAATTGAGAAAAAAATATTAACAACTTGTTGTTTGTAATAAGAACAACGATATTCACTCAAAATGTGTCCCAACCCAATCTAGAAGTGCTTGAACACGACTCAAGCACTTCTTGGTTCACAGTCACGCACGGACCGTTGAAAAGTCAAAACGCCGCAGGGCTCCGTGAAAAAATGCGAAAAAATACTTATAGTATGTAAAAAGTAGTTTTTTCGACAGGTATCTAATCAATATTTGTTAATTGAACTCATTTGAAGCAAATTTTGTTCTAATTCTAATTAAGTTTATAGTAAGAAACTGATTAAATAGAAAATATTTGTGATATTGAAACGCATGATCGGAAATATAGCCGCCTCTTTTCCTCGCGGTCCCAACCTGAAATATTGCTAACAGCGCATTCAGATCTGCGCGAAGAGTTTAAGAAATAAGGTCTATATTCTTCTACATATAGCAATAAGTCGCAACATTTTACGAGCTTGCATTTCGAACTGTTATAACTCTTTGACGCATGCGTTTTAATTAAGACCTTATACATTTTGCGTTAAAGGTGACTTTAAAAGTTTAAATAATGCCTTATGTTGTTTTTGCGAACGCGATCATTTTACGGAGCTGCGTGGATCGTCCAATGTACCTTTTGGACAGGTTTCGGCAAAGATTTTGTTCGTGTTGTTGTATCTAGAGTATTTAATATCGTCGAATAAGAAACTAAATTGGAAACTAAAACAATGCAGAATTAAAAATAATCTTTCCTGTTTGTAACGTGTGCTTTGAAAAGAGGTTAAAACAAAATCCGTTAAGTACGGCTGTACAAGCAAGTCTCCGCGAAAAAAAAATGCACAATCTCCAAGCGCCAGGGTTGCGTTGCATCGCCACCTAATGAGGCGTGCTCTGTCGCCTCAACTCACTCACAAACGCGTATGGTAAAATTTCTCTCCCCATTTTATTTATGCTTAACAAATTGGATAAAGATAAAGTACTATCGACAAAAAATTATTCATGACCCACTTGCCCGATAATTCGCTTAAAAATGTCAAAAACAGACAAGTTTTCTTATGAAAAAGATGCGTAATTGCACTTAGGACTGAGGATCTAATAACAAGGAAACTAAAGTAATATATGTATCAAGGATCTTTAAAATGAGATCTTTATTTTCAATCCAAAAGATCATCTTATAGATAAAATTGGTATAGTAGTTTGAATTTCGAAATCACTTTTGGTTGTAAGAAAATAAACTTCTGGTGTGTCAGAAATCAAATTGGCTGATAATCTTAGATTAAAACAAAAAGGGAAGATACGGCACTCGCGGCTTAAAAGTGTCCGTTTAAATTGTGGTGCACGACCACGACTCGTCTTAGTCTCAATTGGACATTCATACACGCTGCATGTGCACTCAATATAACAATCCTTCGATGCTTTTATAAAGAACACAAATAGTTAAAAATTAAATAACAAATGACAAATGTTTGTCGTGAATGATATTTACGTAATCGCCATTTTGTTATCAAGAAAAGGACAAAAATACAGCTCAGCAGTGCGGACTCGCCGTTTCGCCCGCTCTGCGTTGAAGCGTACAGTTCTGTCTCGCTCAATCAATTGAATGTTATTTACAGACGTGTGCGTGTGTGAAAATTGCTTATGTAGTTGAGGCGGATCATATTTTATTTGATGCTAGTATGAGCGTACCGTATCTTCCCTTTTTGTTTTAATCTAAGTTGATAGTACAAATAATTTTTACTCAATTTTCTCTAAATTTTTATGGAGGTAAGTATGAGTAGGATAGCTTAAAAACGTACGAGTATTTGAACAATCGACAGCCACGTTTAACTTTGGATTTTTTATTTAAATACGCAGTTATTTCTGTTTCCAGTACCTCTAGTACGAACCATTATCGAATTCGAATAGTTTGCAAACCGAAATGTCAATGTCAAATTTTGTATGGAAACTTGAACAGCAGCGGCACAAAGTACGTAACGAGGAATAAAAATCAGTACACATTTGACAATGACATTTCGGACTCGCAAACGATACGAATTCGATATTGGTTCGTGCTAGGGGTACAGGTATCACTTAACAAATATGAGATGATTCAGACTTTAAAAAAATGATCGAAAAGAAGATATCGAAATAAAGCGGTTTTAATTCAGTTCAGAAGTATAGGTCCAATTATGAAATACTTTTTTACTTACAATAATAACATAAGTAAAAACGCGACAACATTAGTTTTTCGTGCGTCTACTTACATTTTGAGTTTTTATATGTTCGTGTCAATAGTCCAAATATATTATCTTAATCAATTTTCCAAAATAAATTATTAACTTGAAAAGACAAAATCTTTAATTTCATTAATTCAATCAATTTTAACCGTAGTTATGTTAACTATGTCAGCTATTTAGCTTATCTGTGGCATAACAAAGCGTCAAATTAGCGGTTGATCTGCTGCAAGTATGCGACCAAACGTGATAAATTTTCGGCATAGCCTTGCTAGAACGTTGCAGGTACGCTGACACCATAGACAGGGAATACACTGAGTAATATTCGCAAGAAATCTACAACTATCTAGTACAAAAGATATCTTTGGTGGAGCCAATACATTTAAAACTATGGCCGCACAATAGCTTCATCTCTCCCACACCCATCTGATACCCAAGCACTATCTTTGACAGCCCTTTAATCGTATCTTATCGTCAAAGTTTCTATGAAAATGAAGCAGCGCCCCTACTGTACGTTAGAACAAACTGGCTCCTTCCATACAAAATTTGACGATGACAATACGTTCACGGATCTGTCATAGTTCGTGCTTGGGCCTCTGGTCAGTTTTACTTTACAGTTGAACAGGGAAAGCTCAGTCTATTCTCTGTCGATGACTGACAGCTACTATAAAATTATATGCCTCCACATCGTAGTTGCTATAACGTACTAAGCATCCCCTTGAAACTGCTGCTATAATAATATTTAACGCTGCTACATAGTAAAAGCGTGAGTCCCAGTAAGTTAAGAGCCTTCGCTTCGCAATGGTTATAAATAAGCTGATGTCAAGGACTAGTCAAGCAATTATTAACAGCTGGTTAATGTTCGATTTACAGTTCGGCGACAAATCATGCACTCGTCCCTGGAAATGTGTGTGACTTGTTGAAACAGCAGACAGTTATGTTTACTTATGTAATATAACTACCGTTTTATTGTTCCAATTAAGTTTTGGGCGAGTTGCTTGTTACTAGCCAATGGTTAAAGCGAACATGATCAAAGGGCTTACGACATCACCTTGTGTTATTTGATAGCATTCAATATGAACCCTCAGTGCATTACAATAGAGACATTCAAACCGTACAGAAGCAAAAATTTGTATACGGATAATTCCAAACATCAAAAAACTTAAAAAGTGTATGTCTGACGACAGCACTAAAGTTCGTCGTAATATTTTTAATTTGCGTTCTACAGTTCTCAGCAGCTAGCAAATGTTTACAAACAGTCTAAAGGAACACACTATGTGAAAAAACAACTGTTTGAAATTCAACGCTAATTTCATTGTGGTAGCACTCTATTATACAATCGCCCACGCGATATAAACAATTTACAATAAATTCAAGGGTGCGCATTTTCTCTGTGTTTTCTTTCATCATATTTTCTGTCTACAATGATTGTTATAACTGTGACATTATTATGTTCCCATGACCATGAGCATACTATACCATGAAAAATCGTCACCGTGTAGCTACGGCAGCCGACCACCAAAAATGTTTGGTTGCGTTTTGTGTATGGGTATTTTTTACAATTAATTCAAGGGTACGCAATATCTGTGTATGTCCATATCTTATTTTCTGTCTACAATGATTCTGTTTATAATTACTGTGACATTGTTATAGTCCCATGACCATGAGAATACTATATCAAGAAAGATCGTCATCGTGTAGCTACGGCAGCCGACCACCTAAACTGTTTATGTGCGTTTTGTGTATGGGTATTTTGAAGGTACCTGTATGGGCTTCATGGGCGGCGGTAACTCGACGTCGGCAGCGTCGTCCTCAACCTCGTCGAGGGCGGCGGCATTGCTGGCCTCACCCGCACTCGCGTTGGCACCATCTTCGGCGCGCCCCGTTTCAGCAGCGTACGGCAACTGTTCAAAGCCACATCGTTATGGCGTGCTCTGCGTTAAGCGCGTACACGGTGCTGACGTCCGCTAGGCTTGCAGTTTCATGTTATTTCATAAAGCAGCGCAGCGTGAAGCGAGTCATCTGTCGCAGCGGTGTTCCAAAAATTACATGAAACAGCACGCGGAGCAGATCAGCTCCGTGTTCCCGTTTAACGCAGCACACGCTTACGTTTCTAGTTGTAGTAAAATAGGATGTAAAGTTAAAGGTTACAAAGTTAGCGCAAGTCGCAGCGCAACAAACAAAATTTGGGTGCACACGTGTGGAGTCCACCTGAATGTACCAGTGCGTAACTGCGCTTACTGCTAACTTCAAAACAATAATTTCTGTAGTCTTTATTTAATGGAATAGTAAATCCATATGTAGGTCTTATTCTGAAAATTCTATAATACATATTTTTTGTTATAATGACTCTATGAACTTGATAGATAAATATTACAATACAAGCTGGTTCCGATTATTTTATTTAAGTTTATTGAACCAACAACGGTAAAAAGTTTCGTACACAATTATTCATTTTTTTTATAGATATTTCCGACAAATGACGAAATATGGAGTTGTCTAGATACAAACAACCACTAGAAGTTCCAGAGTAGAATACCAAATGTCTAGACATTAAATGACATGTGTTTGCTTGTACTTGTTGTTTTGTTCACATTTAGATAAGATATTATTTGACTCGCAGTACTAGAAATAAACAATGCTTTGTAAACCTTAAGTTTTCTATCAGAGGGCATCTTCTTGAGCGGTGCAGGCTTTTCCGCCGTGGCTGGTGATTGTGCACCGCTAGGTGCCTTCTCCTTGCCTTGCGATGGCTTGCGGAGCCCTAGCCATCGCCTCCTAGAACAATAACATGAAAAATATATTTATGAGAAGAATTAAAAAGAAAATCCCAATAGATCTCTTTTTTCCACTTAATAAGTATTTATTGATATTTATATTCTGAAAAAAAAAGATATGGGACTTCAAGTTTCTATTACAGTACGAAAATAAATAAGTAAGTATTAACAGGAAAGTTTAGGTACTTGTAATTTACGTATACTTAGTGTGTTTTTATGTTGTTCACTCTGTTCTGTTTGAGTCAACAGGAGAATGCATTTTTTCCATTAGTTTTATAACTCGAGTCATTTGTCGCCTTTTTATAAACGATGAATATACAAAATTTAACTAACAAAGCAATCATAATTTGCAAAACAAGCAAACAACAACAAACTTCGAATTTGTTGTTCGAACAACAAATTCGAATTGTGTTTCGAATTGTCGAAACACAATTCGACACTGCAGCTCGAATTGTGTTTTTCGAAAACAAAATTCGAGCTGCAGTGTGATCCAATATATCTTGAACTCTCAATATTTTTGCATAAGTATTTTTGATTTCGATTGTTGATGATGGTGGATAGCACCTCTGTTTCATTTCCTGTATTTTATAGTATGGTGGAAATAAAGAACAGTTTCTTTCATCTGTAACGTAACCTCTGTAACCTCTTATAAATGTGCTTTTCAAAAATATATAATACCTTTTTTTTTTTTTTCTTACAATAAATAGGCTTACGCTTGACGGCCACGCGACTGATGAAAAGCGACGTAGCAGCCTAAGGTGGGACGCGCTTGCCTAGAAGAAACCGATTGACTCGCGACTTGAAGAGCCCCAGATTATAGGTAACTGGAAACAGAGATTCCGGCAAAGAGTTCCACAACCTAGCTGTTCTAACTATATAGGTGGAAGCAAACCGTTTAGTACGAGTTTGTGGGACCTCTACGGTATATCTGTGGCGTTTTGCCGTCTCTCTGGTGGTTCTGTGGTAAAAAGGTGAAGGTGGAATTAAGTTATGTAACTCCGAAGCACACTCTCCGAAATGTAACCGGTAAAAAACCGATAAAGAGGCAACTTTTCGCCTGTGTTCAAGACTTTGGAGTCTAGTCTCAAATAATTTGTCGTCACCGATGAGCTTCTTTGCACGCCTCTCAATGCATTCCAGAGACTCTAGCTGATATTTTGCAGAACCATCCCAAAGGTGCGAACAGTACTCCATGCACGAGCGAACTTGTGCTTGGTACAAGGTGAGCAGCTGTTCCGGGGTAAAGTACTTCCGCACCCTTGCGAGGACGCCAAGCTTTTTTGCAGCCAGTTGAGCTCTGGACTCAATGTAGGTACCGAAGTTGAGAGTTGAGGTGAGAGTTATTCCTAGAAGCTCGAGTTGTTCGGTTACCGGCACAGTTACACCTCGGAAAGAAGGGGCCAGTTGAAACGCCCTCTTTTTAGGGAAGAACAGACACGCCTGAGTCTTAGAAGCATTAAACTTGACCAGATTGGCATCGCCCCAATCGGAGACTGCCTGAAGGGACAAGTTTAAGCGCTTGACCATGACTTCTCGGAGTGATTGAACTTCGGCCGCACTGGCACGCGCATTTGATAAATAGCTCTCTACGACTGTGCTATCATCTGCATACCCAAAGGTACCGGGTTTAAGCAGATCGTTGATCTGGAGCAAAAAAAGAGTTGCAGAGAGAACAGACCCCTGCGGAACTCCGGCATTAACAGCCTTACGATGTGATTGGCAGCCATCTATAACTACTGTTATAGACCGATCACGCAGGAAGTCAGATATCCAGGCGCATAGTGCAGTGGGCAAGCCGTACGAAGGAAGCTTGCTTATAAGGCCGTCATGCCAAACCATGTCGAAAGCCTTCGAGATATCGAGAGACACGGCCAGCGCTTCTCCGTGCTTCTCAATGGCTTCACTCCAAATGTGAGTAGCGTACACTAAAAAATCCCCAGTGGATCGATTTCGGCGAAATCCGAATTGACGATCACTGAGGAGGTCATTCGCTTCTAGGTACGCTAGGATCTTGTGGTTCAGAACACGTTCCATGCTCTTACAGAGTAATGAAGTGACAGATATTGGTCTGTAGTTCGCAGGGTCGGCATGACTTCCTTTTTTGGGCACCGGTTGCACGTTAGCAAGCTTCCAGGATTTAGGCACTTGTCCAGTTTCCAAGGAGAGCCGGAAGAGGCGTGTCAGAACAGGAGACAATTCGGGTGCACAGGTCTTCAGAACTATTGCATGGATACCATCAGGGCCACTGGCTTTGTTCTCGTCGAGATTGCGTAGGACTTTACGCACCTCCGCTTGGCGAATGCGAATGTTCGACATCGCTGTCGAGCAGCCAAATGATGTGGGAGGTACCGCGCTACCAGCATCAAGACTCGAGGCTTCCGCGAATTGAGAAACAAAAAGATTTGCTTTCTCTTCAGCAGTGTGAGCCAGAGTCCCATCAGGCTTCTGCAGTGGAGGCAGTGAGGGAAGTTCGCCTGGACCGATTTTGCCAGGGACCAAAGCGCTTTATTGCCTGTCGGATACGATGCAAGTTTGTTCACAATCCGGCTATTATGGTCAAAGCGAGCCTTCTGTAACACCTTCTTGCAGGCCTTGGCAGACCTGTTATACGCTTGTTTTTTTTGGCGTAAATCATTTGCTTTGCGGTGTCGAGCATCGGCCCAGGCCAGATAAGCCTCATGTTTTTGCGCTTCCGCACGTGCACACTGAGGTCCAAACCAGGGGCGAGCTTTGCCGGACAGAGGTAAATCTGAGTATGGGATAAAGTACTCCATACCCAGTGTGAGTACATCAGTCACGGCATCCGCGCAAATTGATGGGTCACCAGAGGTGAAGCATACGGGTTGCCAAGGATAGGACGCAAAAAACGACCGCATTCCATTCCAATCAGCTGACTTGTATCGCCACATTCTCCGGGTGCCTCTAGGGCTGGGATCGGGCGGAGAGTAGACAGACACAGATTTCACCAGACAGTGGTTGGACTTACCTAGGGGTGAAGAAACCGACACTGAGTATCGGTCTGGATCTGTTATCAGCAAAAGGTCCAAGCAATTAGGTGTTTGAGAGTCAGTGTCAGGTACCCGTGTAGCTTCTCGGACTAGCTGGGTGAGATTTAAAGCTAAAGCGAGCTTTCGCGTTTCTCTTCCGGCATGGTCAGTGACCCGGTATGGGAATAGCCACTCCTGATGGTGTGCATTAAAATCCCCCAGGAACACTAATTGGGCTGTAGGGTACCTTTGTTGAGCTGAATCCGCCGCCTCACCGAGGTATTCAGTGAGCCTTGTTGTCTCCAAGTCTCCGGTGTGCGACCGGTAGACACAGGCATACAGAATCTTCTCCATGCCTGTGTCCAATAGTATCCACAGAGCCGAGAATCGGGGGTCTTCAAGATTACGAAGACGCCGATAGCAGATATCGTCCCGGGCGTATAAGCACACTCCACTATGGGGCTTAAAGTTGTGCTCAATATTGTACCCAGGGTACATAAGGTACGCCTGGTCTGACGGGCATCCTATCTGCGTCTCCGTAAGGAAAAAGAGTGCAGGTTTTTGAGTCTCTAGATGGTGGTGGACTGGCACGAGATTTGAGTGCAGTCCTCTAATGTTGGTGAGGTGCACTTTGAGCGAAAGGGCGTGCTGCCGCTGTTGGACCTTTTTTCTATTTCCTTTTTTCATATCGTGAGTATTTGTTCGGTGGGAAAACGGAAGTAGAATGTACGATTTGGCTTCAGTACCGCTACCAGTAGACACTCACATACACTGTGCATCTTATGGGGAGCTAGGTCGGAGACTGCGGGGACGCCCGAGCCCCCCCGGGAGTGTCCATCGGGCCCTTTCGTCCGGTCGCCAACCGGCACGATGGCGCATCCCGGGATTTTTCGCGAGTTGGCGGGGCAGCCTTTCATGAGTGGCTAACCCATTACTTGGGCCCCCTACTAACTGCGGTCGGCCAGCGGTGCACCGTGCCTCGGATCCCACTACCCTCCGAGACTAGTTACCGGATGCAACAATGATGCGTACGTCTAAAAAACGGCACTGCAGTACTGGAGCGACCATTCCGACCCGATCTTCCCAAACGGCGTCACCGGACTACGCACCGGAACACAGATAGGCTGCTTGGCGGCGCGTCTTAGTCCGGTGGGTGGTCACTAGCCTCGGCAATTGCCTACCACCAGTGGGTTGTCGCCTGATTTGCACCACCCAGGGACCACGTGTGGGGTAACAGGAAAAAAAATAATTCGGGGTTTACACCCACGGACGAAGGCGACTCGGTCCCCTTATACCTTTCATTTCAAGTTTTAAAACTATTTCACGTTGAAAAACGTAAATGAAGAACTTAATATTTCCCAGCTGCCTAAACGTTTAACTTTGCTACATGAAAAAAAATACTTTTACGAAATAAAATATGAATTACGCTGCAGAATATTAAACTTCGACTTTTGAACTATTAAATTATATTCATATATTACCCAATTTCAATCAGTAATAAAAATCAATTTTGATATGCGTTTGTTCTACCATATTCCACCGTACGTCGGTGTGATCCATCTAAAATATTTCAAAAAAGCAAGTAAAATGGTTTCCGAAAATATTTTTCCGCATCACCGGAATAAATTTTGTTCACAACATTTATTAAATTACCATTCACCCTTATTGTTGTGTACAAGAGAAAATAATAATGGAAATATCCGAATTCTAAAGAATCAGGATGGCATTATACCGTCGTATTTATAAACAAGTAAAAGACATTTACTTTCGCATAGGTAATGACTTGACAGTATTTTTCATTTCATCTTTGTAAATTAATCAAAGTAAGAACTGCCAAAAATTGGAATTCTTATAACCAAGTATACAAAAGTCAGAGGACTAATTCCTGCGTATGTTGTTGGGAATATAGTTTAAAAAAAAAACTGCCAGACATCTCCTCCTTATCATCAGCTTATTAATGTCCCCACTGCTGGGGCACAGACCTTCCCTATGGATGGAATCGGGAGATTGGACC